TAAACTCAATGCAACATAATGGAGTTATGTTATTAAAAATACAGTTTTAACTGTACAGAATTGTATAAAAATAACTATTATATTACAGTTATAATAGAAAATTTATAACAGTCGTAAAGCGAGGGTTTATCATATAGGTTACAGATTTTTATTCTTGTTACATTTAAAGGAATGCATCATTAAAAATAAGCAATTTTTATTCTATAATTTATATATTTTTATTATAGAACTATTTTACAAGTTATAAATTATATTAAATTCCCACTTTTTGTGATGTAATTGTTTCTTGAAAATTCGTCGTAAAGCGAGGCGTTATCCTTTCTATAAGCTCAATGACATGTATTGAGGTTACATTTCTGAATATGATAAGTTTTAATTATAGAATAACGAGAAGAAATGTCTATTTTATACCGTTATAATAGAAAATTATACATGTCGTAAAGCGAGGTTAACCATAACCTTATCGAATAACAATAAAGAACACTTCGTTTGTACGCTATTGACTTATGTTTATGAGTCAACACTTTTGTGTTTCTTTCGTTATAATAATAACATATCCATATAGTTTTTTTCCCCTCAAGAATAAATGCTGTTTTGAATTTTTATGTAGGAATAATTCATAAAATTCTGAATATATATTTTTTATTTTTATGTATATTCTTTTACTGACGACACGTCACGCAATATGAAATAATATATAATTCTACCTTCGTGAAAGAAAATAACAGCTGTTTTAATTCTTTATATTGATAACAAATGTAATAACTTTGTCTATAACACAACCTCCATATAGAACCACCCTCATAAAGCTTTAACGAATGCATTTCAAGCTACGTTATCAGCGATTTTTCAAACTCCCAAACTCGAAACCGTGTGTAAATCTCTTTGCTGTATTGCTTGAGATACTTCGGTTTAACGCCACACTCGATTTAGTGTTAATTTCAGAGACAGACAAATGGTGGGACTAAATCGAAGCGTGTAATTATTCAGTAAACTTCAGGAGCTGTCAGTGTATATACTGAATATACTGTTACAGTATGCACTATACAGTGTAGTAGTTACTGCATAGAAAACAATTATTATACGCTCAATATTGTAAACAGTTTTTCACTTCATCATTAAGGAACAAGGTACAAAACGGCACTTGAAGTTTACGTAATATTGTATTGGATTGCTGAAATAAAAGGGAACTTCCAATCAGGGATAACTCTTGAGAAGACTTTCTATATGAAACTAATCCCTATTTAGTTATTAGGACGTGAAGAAAATCCGGAAAACTCTACGTGGTGAGGGCACGAACCCACTGGTTTTATTCACTTTGCCACTGTGGGAATAAGTTTTTATAGAAAAAGAAAGATTTAGATTAAAGTTTTCAACAAGATTTGATGACAAATGTTCATAACTTTGCCTGTTGTCGAATATCAATAATCTCAATTAACTGATTTTTGGACCACCCTACACATTCTTTTAGACAATAACGATTTAGGTATGAAATTCATTGTTAATCGACGAATATACGAATGAATTCGATAAAGAAAGGAAGGATAAACCTTTAAAATGCTTACAAAATAACCTATAAAGCAATACCAGTTCCCGCCATTGTCCGTTACTCAGAGGTTCTTAACTGTATTTATTTTAATTTCTTAATTTACCGTTTATTACGGCAAAAAATGATATCTGCACGGACATAATTGGTATTTTACATGATTATAAATGATTAAAAAGGGACATTTGTTAACTTCTATAGTTTAAACACTGGTTTAGCGCACCGTTTATCTATGTAATAGGCGCTATTTAGACGAGTTAGGTTAGACTAAACGAAGAAGAATTTAGTCTGAAGTAATGAGATTTAAACACACGAGGAGTTCCAATTTTTTTTTTTAAATACAAATAGTGTGATAAAAATGATGTAAATTAAAGTTATTTTTGATACACAATAAAAAAATCTGCTCTTATTTGTGTATTTTTGTGGGATCTAGTTTGAATTTTTATCCAAACTTCTATAATTTTCTATAGTACTTTGCTTATAACGACCACCTGTAAACATCTAATAACGGCCACCTGTAAACAAAGGCTATTTTTATGTTTCCGTGGTTGGCCGCCATTCAGAGGTTTGACTGTATCATTACATTAACAGCAAGGAAATAGAGAAATAGGCTCGAGTCAGGCACAAATTTGAAGCCTTATTTCTCTTGGAAAATTATAGAAATATGAATAAACAAGGAAATATATTTATCATTTATTAAAATAGACTTTATCTTATGTTTCCTTTACTTAAAAGACTAAATTTTAGGGAATGGAACAAATGGTCCTCTTGGCTCTCTTTACCTCTGACCTGTTAAGAGTTTGTAGATAAATTCAAAGCGATATTACAGACAGACGAATGAAGGATCCGGAGAACATTAGTCCATTAAATAATTCATTTTCACTCAATTTAACATTCTATAAAGATTTATAAATTAATATTAATAAGGAGGAAGATAAATGCAATAATTTCCACATAAAACTTTATCTCATTCCTTAGAGTAGAAAAGATTTTTTATGCTATTTTTCTACAGTTTCTACGAAGAATTTTGAAAATATATAGTTAAAAATTTTAATTTTTTGAACGTTTTTAAACTTAAATATCTATTTTTATTCACGAATAACAAATTTTAATGTATTAAAAGTAAAATCTAGTGTTTTATTCAGTCAAAAAATGCTTACATCAGCTCGGATTCGATCCCGGATTCCACACAATTCTTCAGATTCTTTATCCATAATTCAGTGAATGTTCAAATAGATTTGTTTAAATGAATGAATAATGAATAATTCTGAATTGAAGAAAACATTTTTAAAGTTTGAAGGACATTTAATATGGTCTATTAATGTTTAAATTTAATAAAAATATGTATAATTTATAGAAAAAAAAATGTTTTCAGAATTTTGTTTGATAGAGATAATAATTTTTATCATTTTTTTCTAGTTTTTCATGTCATTTATAACTTTAAATCTACGATTTTAAGTCAGTTATTATTCGTATACAGCTTACAATTACCTCAGTTTTAATTACAGAATTACATTATTTTCTATGTCTTATACTATATATTATTTTATGCCTTATACAGTACCTTTATCTCTTTAAATTACACGTTTAGATAGGATATGATAAAGATATAAATGTGTAAGTTATATGCAAGAATATAGGCATTCTATCACTATTACATTTCTATTTTATCTGTATCCTTTATTTTATAATCCTACTCTTCATCTCTCTCTCAGGATAGGTTAAAATAAAGGATAAATCAGTGATACTATCCTGTTAAGAATGTAGGATAAGCTCCCTATACGCATGATTAAAGGCATTCTATCTCTGTCTCATCTACCTTACTCTTATCTTTATTTATTCTTTATAAAATAAAGATAGGTTAACTTTATTATATGCAAAACTCTCTTATCCTTTATTATTATTATTATTATTATTAATTATAAATTCGTAATTTTGATCGAATGCATATTATGTATAACATTATATATTTATAAAAAGAAAATAACCATAAATCGATCGAGTTGAAAATAAAATACTAATTTATAAAGTAAATGTCATGTATTAATCGATAATTATGTTTAAAGAAACGTAGTTTCCCCCTTAACAACCATTACAAAATGACAATTACAGCTTGATCAAATGAATAAATTCCAACAAAATAAATACATTTAAACTTAAAAATATATAAATAAATAAGTATATAAGTATATAAATAATTCTCTATTTATAATAATTAATTACAATACATTTTTATTTTTTTTTTAAATAAAATTATTCTAAAAATTAACTCGTATTTGATACCTCGTTTCATTTACTTTCCACATAATTAAACTTAACCAAATTAAATTAAAATTAATTAATTAAAATTAGTTTCAGTTAATTATAAGTTAATTTTTATTAAATTAATCTTCTTTTTTCTTAACTAAAAAAATAAAATAAATAAATAATTTACTCTTAATTCCTTACAAAAGACNTTTACCTTATTAAATTATAAATTAATATATAATTATCTTTATTCATTAATTTATATAGACTATATATATAACTGTCCAAAAGTCAGTTAACCATGTATTTTGTTTTTTTAATGTGCGCTGAGAACACAGTTTTATAAATTTACATAATTTGTGTAATGAATATTTATAATTTTTAAAAGAAAATACAATCAAACCTCGATATAACGCCACCCTCGTACAACGCTGATCGATAATCTTCTTCATAAGTATTAAGTGTATTAGTATCCATCGTTATCTTCGAATTATCAAACGTAGTATTTTGCATTGCAAATGACATTATTATTATTATTAAATCGTGTGACTTTCGAACTTTTAAATCTCAAACGAGCGTGCAGACTTTATTACTTCATATAACTTTTTATTGGACCAGCTTCTCTGCTTATCGTCTCACTCGATTTAGTACCAATTTCGGAGAAGAACAAACGGTGGTACTGTAGCGAGGTTTGATTGTATAGTTTAATAATTAGAAGAAAAATATATATATATATATGGAGAAATAATAATAAAGATAGAAAATATTTTCAAGACAGAAAATTTATTTTCCAGTTTATTTTTTTTTTTCGTACAATATGCAAGATCCACGAAGGATCATGTATGAAAAGAGTTTCAGGATTACATATGGGCCATAGATAAAGGGATCTTCTCCTCTCAACGTTAAGATAGATAACTAATACACACGACGGAGCTTTGTGACTTAAGACAAAAAAGTTCTTCTATAACTAAAACCCGGATTAAATTTGATGAATTTTGACGAAGCAATTTATGAGCCAAGACTTCGTTTATAGGAATAGAAACATTTTTTGTCTTTTTTTTTTATAATTTTTTATCTTTATCTTATAAATTTAGAATGAAATCAATTTAAAATTTCTTCCTAAAATTAAATTAAAATTTTCCAGACTATTTAAATTTCTATTAAAGTGTCTAGACATAAGACGACTCCCTGTTTTCTGATTAAACACTTTTTTTTTGTTGATATCGTATACTAATATAACAATTAATTTTAAAATGGTTTGCAGAAATACGATTTGCGTTGCTTCTTTTCAATATTTTTCCATTCTTAAACGACATTTTTACGTATTTATCTCTAGAAAAAAACAAATTTCTAGTATACTTACGCATGAGATGCAATCGCAATTCGTATTATTGCATTAGTAATATACTTTGCCTGTCATCAACATCGAACCTCTTTTATTATTTTGGCAACTGGAGGGAGTATTTACCTAACCCAAATAAATCCGAATTTTTATTTATTTATTCATTTATTATTATTATTTAAATATTCACGTATGAGAACAAAGCAACGTTATTTATATATTAACAAAATTATATACAAAAAGGAACATAATTGCTGTATTTTTTTTGCATATAATAAAGGTCAAAGCACCAAATTATCAATGCACCTTCGTAACATCGTTATTGGAGAAAAAAATAATTCTAAAAACATTCTCTACAGCATCAATTCTTCAAACAGACTCACCCGAATTATTATCTTTTTTTTTTTCCATTCAAACAAATCCATTGGCACTCAGTAACATATAGAGACGAGGCCTATATCAGAAGCCATGATACATAGTAAATTTATAATTTTATTTTTCTTGTCAGATCATTTCTAAAAGAGTTCTTCAAAAATCCGTATCGTTTTTTTTTTTTCTTTCTATCAACTATCACTGAAACATACAGACTTACGAACACGGCATTTAAATTATTATATGTGACTGTCTTTTTTTTTTCTTTTTTTCGTAATACGGTAGGGAAGGGTGTAAAAGAGGCTTGTAAAGAGGGAATTTTAGCTATATTTTTTGTCGTTTCTCACGTATTTGAAACCTATGTTATAAATCAAACATAGGGCCGCGGTTTGGAGGGTGTTCATCGTTTAAAATTTTGGCTTTTTCCTTTAGCCTATCTGGAGCATTTATCAAATTTCTTACGCAATTACTGTTCTTTGCTTTCATCGTCGGACCCATTTGCTACTTCGTTACTTTTTTCTTCTAGTTTATTTTCTTCGTCTTTTTCTTCGGGTTCTTCTTCTTTGGGAGATGATGATGTTTCTTCTTGTTCGGCCGCGCTGCTACTTTCGGCTTCAGTTTCTTTTTGAGTTGTTGTTTCTGTTTCTGTTTCTTCTTCTTCTGCGGGAGTTGCTTCTTCCGCCGATTCTTTGACGTTTTCTTCTTCGTTCTGTTCAATAATTTCTGGCGTTACTTCTTCTTGACTCGTTACTTGATTCTCTTCTGATGTTTCTGCTTCGACCGCTTTCTCCTTCTCTTCTTCTGCTACCTCTTCGGTATTGGTCACATTCTCTTGATTTTCGTTGTCTTCAGATTTTGGTGGTTCCTCTACTTCCGCTGGTTTTTCTACCTTCTCCACTGTTTCTTCTACTTTTGGTGTTTGGTCTACTTCGACCTCCTGAGAACCATTTATGCCGTTTACGTCACCATCTACAAAAAATTATTATTTTTTTAAGTTTAATTTTACTTAATTGTTTAAAACTATTATTATAATTTTACTCAAATATTATATTATTATATCAAAAAAATAATATTGAACATTACTCTACAGGGAGAAAGATAAATTTCGAATTATATTAAGTAATATAAAAGTGTAATAATTTAGGTTCTATCTAATATAAAAACAGTCTGCAAAACCTATTCTATTATAGCTTTTATGAATAAAATTAATTGTATTTTTATTTTTAATAGTTTAATGGGTCAAATACTCAATTTTCAATTGGCTTACATAAAGACATACGTGCTTACAGCTCATAAACGTATACTTATCATCAAATACCGGAATTAAATATTGAATTAATTTATAAAATAAACAATAAAAGTAAAGTATTATTAATTTAAAGCAACACAGTATAAAAATTGAATGAAAAAAAAGGAATAATTGTAATTAAAACTTAAATTTCTTGAAATTAAAAATCCCTGTAAATCATGCTTCACCTGAGAGTTCAGATACCATGCAGGGAAGCCATACACCATGTTCTGTAATATATCGATTGCAGTTATTACGAATTTAAATTGCAATTATTCAAAAGTTTTTTTTTACTAATTATTAACATATGTCAACGATACATTGCATACACTTTTATTAACATTTTAAAGTGGTCAATCTTTCTTAATATCAGATTAAAATTTAAATAATCCTATAGTTCCTATATATACAATTTAATAAGATTTATAAATATACTTTATATATTGTAGATTTTTCTATGGGTTTAATGGAATATGATCATACATTATAACGATTTACGAGGGTCTCACTTATCTGTGATCGATATACTGCAGAGTTCATTAACACGAATGAATTCATCGACTAATTTGGAGTAACACTAAACATGTTATTGTTTGAAGTTACTGTGAATTATATCAAATTAAATATTTTTATTTAATAGATAATAATGTTATACAATATTAAAATAAAGTGTTTGTTAGATTTATAACTTTAGGAAAATACAGTCGACCCCAGTATAACACTGTTGATTTTTCCGTTTTATATGAATTCCATGTTGTGCGAGTCACTTAGATTTTACAAATACATGAGCCGTTCACAGCCCAGCACACGTATTTGTAAAATCTAAGTGACTCGTACAACATGGAATTCATATAAAACGGAAAAATAAACAGTGTTATAGGGGGGTCGACTGTAGTAATAAAATTTATATGCATGGTATAAAAGAATATTCCTATAGATAATGTAAATTTGAAAAAAAAAATCCTTTTAGAAAATAATATTAAATTACGAAAATTTTTGTTTTAATAATTACAATTTTGACATTTAATATTCATGGTTTTATATTCAAAAAAACTTTTCTTATAATAGTATAACGTATATGTAACAGGTGCATTTATTCAGGTATTATCTCACACGCAATAGAGCAATGCGTTACGTTAAATTCGTATTAAATATTATATTTTGAGAAATTTTTATTTATTCAACTATTGAAAAATTCTTAGAAAATTAAAGTTTAAAAATGTCTTCTTCTAAGTAATAACGAGCAAACTTGTTTGTTTATTTGAATAAATTTATTCTTTTTATAAAAAAAATAAAATATTTAAGATTATTAAGTAAATTGCTTACTTTTTAAACGTTGAAAATTAAGACTAATGATTTTATTTTATTTTATTTTAACGCTATCATTAACGCTAAAAACTGGTATCATTAACGTTAATTAAAGCTTTATAGTTAAATTAAATAAACAAAATTAATTTTGTAATTTAAATATTTCAAATTACTTTATCATCTGGTTATTCCATTCGAAAAATAAAATGAACTTTTATTTATAAGAGATTAAACTTTAACAAGAAGCCAATTAAATAATAAATTCTATTCTGAACTAGATTTTCATTCGTTCAGCATCAGAAACCATTCACCCAAAACCCGTTTTGCTCTGTTCTAGGTAACCATAGCGACCGAGTTGCTATGGTTACTCTGTCTCTTCGGATCAGTCAGGGATATTGATGCAGAGTTAGTTAAATGCATTCGAAAAATGTCTTTTGAACAAAGCAAAGAAAATTCGGTATACTCTTAAATTATTACTCAACTATTTTATGCAATATTTAGAAAATTTATTTCCGCTTTTCTTATTTTTCTACCCGTGAGCCTGTACATGCAATTCTTAATAAAGAAGAAGAAGAAGAAGAGAGAGAGAGAGAGAGAGAGAAAAAAAGGAAAAATTATTTGTTGAAAATTGATTTTTATCGATCGAAAAGACAGTTAAAGTCTTTCCTCGATATTTGAATGAGACGTTTTAATGCGAATTTTAACGTTTTCCTTTCTGTAAAAAATTCTATTGTGAAAAAATGTTTTCTATAGAGTTGTCTAGTTTTTCTATCGTAATTGGAATTTTAAAATCGATACGAATTAGAAAAGCGAGAAGGAAGCGAATACCACAGGGAAACTTATTTGCATAGTACTAGATTTTTATTAATGCAAGAAAGCTACAACTAAACTAAGTAATAAAAACTTGAAACCTATGTTATAAATCAAACATAGGGCCGCGGTTTGGAGGGTGTTCATCGTTTAAAATTTTGGCTTTTTCCTTTAGCCTATCTGGAGCATTTATCAAATTTCTTACGCAATTACTGTTCTTTGCTTTCATCGTCGGACCCATTTGCTACTTCGTTACTTTTTTCTTCTAGTTTATTTTCTTCGTCTTTTTCTTCGGGTTCTTCTTCTTTGGGAGATGATGATGTTTCTTCTTGTTCGGCCGCGCTGCTACTTTCGGCTTCAGTTTCTTTTTGAGTTGTTGTTTCTGTTTCTGTTTCTTCTTCTTCTGCGGGAGTTGCTTCTTCCGCCGATTCTTTGACGTTTTCTTCTTCGTTCTGTTCAATAATTTCTGGCGTTACTTCTTCTTGACTCGTTACTTGATTCTCTTCTGATGTTTCTGCTTCGACCGCTTTCTCCTTCTCTTCTTCTGCTACCTCTTCGGTATTGGTCACATTCTCTTGATTTTCGTTGTCTTCAGATTTTGGTGGTTCCTCTACTTCCGCTGGTTTTTCTACCTTCTCCACTGTTTCTTCTACTTTCGGTGTTTGGTCTACTTCGACCTCCTGAGAACCATTTATGCCGTTTACGTCACCATCTACAAAAAATTATTATTTTTTTAAGTTTAATTTTACTTAATTGTTTAAAACTATTATTATAATTTTACTCAAATATTATATTATTATATCAAAAAAATAATATTGAACATTACTCTACAGGGAGAAAGATAAATTTCGAATTATATTAAGTAATATAAAAGTGTAATAATTTAGGTTCTATCTAATATAAAAACAGTCTGCAAAACCTATTCTATTATAGCTTTTATGAATAAAATTAATTGTATTTTTATTTTTAATAGTTTAATGGGTCAAATACTCAATTTTCAATTGGCTTACATAAAGACATACGTGCTTACAGCTCATAAACGTATACTTATCATCAAATACCGGAATTAAATATTGAATTAATTTATAAAATAAACAATAAAAGTAAAGTATTATTAATTTAAAGCAACACAGTATAAAAATTGAATGAAAAAAAAGGAATAATTGTAATTAAAACTTAAATTTCTTGAAATTAAAAATCCCTGTAAATCATGCTTCACCTGAGAGTTCAGATACCATGCAGGGAAGCCATACACCATGTTCTGTAATATATCGATTGCAGTTATTACGAATTTAAATTGCAATTATTCAAAAGTTTTTTTTTACTAATTATTAACATATGTCAACGATACATTGCATACACTTTTATTAACATTTTAAAATGGTCAATCTTTCTTAATATCAGATTAAAATTTAAATAATCCTATATAGTTCCTATATATACAATTTAATAAGATTTATAAATATACTTTATATATTGTAGATTTTTCTATGGGTTTAATGGAATATGATCATACATTATAACGATTTACGAGGGTCTCACTTATCTGTGATCGATATACTGCAGAGTTCATTAACACGAATGAATTCATCGACTAATTTGGAGTAATACTAAACATGTTATTGTTTGAAGTTACTGTGAATTATATCAAATTAAATATTTTTATTTCATAGATAATAATGTTATACAATATTAAAATAAAGTGTTTGTTAGATTTATAACTTTAGGAAAATACAGTCGACCCCAGTATAACACTGTTGATTTTTCCGTTTTATATGAATTCCATGTTGTGCGAGTCACTTAGATTTTACAAATACATGAGCCGTTCACAGCCCAGCACACGTATTTGTAAAATCTAAGTGACTCGTACAACATGGAATTCATATAAAACGGAAAAATAAACAGTGTTATAGGGGGGTCGACTGTAGTAATAAAATTTATATGCATGGTATAAAAGAATATTCCTATAGATAATGTAAATTTGAAAAAAAAAATCCTTTTAGAAAATAATATTAAATTACGAAAATTTTTGTTTTAATAATTACAATTTTGACATTTAATATTCATGGTTTTATATTCAAAAAAACTTTTCTTATAATAGTATAACGTATATGTAACAGGTGCATTTATTCAGGTATTATCTCACACGCAATAGAGCAATGCGTTACGTTAAATTCGTATTAAATATTATATTTTGAGAAATTTTTATTTATTCAACTATTGAAAAATTCTTAGAAAATTAAAGTTTAAAAATGTCTTCTTCTAAGTAATAACGAGCAAACTTGTTTGTTTATTTGAATAAATTTATTCTTTTTATAAAAAAAATAAAATATTTAAGATTATTAAGTAAATTGCTTACTTTTTAAACGTTGAAAATTAAGACTAATGATTTTATTTTATTTTATTTTAACGCTATCATTAACGCTAAAAACTGGTATCATTAACGTTAATTAAAGCTTTATAGTTAAATTAAATAAACAAAATTAATTTTGTAATTTAAATATTTCAAATTACTTTATCATCTGGTTATTCCATTCGAAAAATAAAATGAACTTTTATTTATAAGAGATTAAACTTTAACAAGAAGCCAATTAAATAATAAATTCTATTCTGAACTAGATTTTCATTCGTTCAGCATCAGAAACCATTCACCCAAAACCCGTTTTGCTCTGTTCTAGGTAACCATAGCGACCGAGTTGCTATGGTTACTCTGTCTCTTCGGATCAGTCAGGGATATTGATGCAGAGTTAGTTAAATGCATTCGAAAAATGTCTTTTGAACAAAGCAAAGAAAATTCGGTATACTCTTAAATTATTACTCAACTATTTTATGCAATATTTAGAAAATTTATTTCCGCTTTTCTTATTTTTCTACCCGTGAGCCTGTACATGCAATTCTTAATAAAGAAGAAGAAGAAGAAGAGAGAGAGAGAGAGAGAGAAAAAAAAAGGAAAAATTATTTGTTGAAAATTGATTTTTATCGATCGAAAAGACAGTTAAAGTCTTTCCTCGATATTTGAATGAGACGTTTTAATGCGAATTTTAACGTTTTCCTTTCTGTAAAAAATTCTATTGTGAAAAAATGTTTTCTATAGAGTTGTCTAGTTTTTCTATCGTAATTGGAATTTTAAAATCGATACGAATTAGAAAAGCGAGAAGGAAGCGAATACCACAGGGAAACTTATTTGCATAGTACTAGATTTTTATTAATGCAAGAAAGCTACAACTAAACTAAGTAATAAAAACTAAAAGGTTTGTCTTGGAAGATGGAATAGGGAGATTTAACACTCAATAGCACTTTTGAGATTACGTCATCTATGTTTTAGAGTTTATTAAATTTTTTTTTTTCTTTTATTTTTCCTCCAAATTAAAAAAAATAAATAAATAAATCATAAATATATGAATAAATTTTCTTGCAAGGTTAGAAAGGGATTTTACTAAGAGATTGAAAGTATTTATGCATAAATATTTATGAATACATTTAAAATTTTTTACAATAAAATAATATATTAATATCTATTCCAGTATAAAAAGTAATTAAGAAAGATTATAAACTTGTAATTGTATATTTTAACTTGATAATTAGCTGTATAAATTTTAAAAAAATTTATTAAATATCTATTATAGTAATGCATCTACGTTTATATTAAAAGAAACGTGTTAAGAATTGAGTACAATTGAAAAAAAATATATATATATATATATTGATCCATGATGTGTGCATTTTCACAAACCAATAATTTTAATGGTGTTAAAATATTACATAAGGAATTTTATATAAAGCAAAAAAGTATAGGCAAACTCCCTTTCTGATTAAAATTCTAGCGATTTGATGATGTGAATTTTTAAGGTTCTTGCTCTAAGGTATCAAGAGATTTCCGAATTTTTTTTTTTTTTGTAAGAAAGTAATCTTCTTAACATCTTCACGTGTTTCTGACAAAAGCTATAAATAATTCTGTGCAGAATATATTCAAAATATGTAAAAGAAAAGAAAAAAAACTGTGCAGATGGAATACAAGAAAATTATTTCGTAAATGCAAATTGTATAAATGTTATCTTCTAGTTACTAATAAGAATCTATTAAAAAACGGAAATTTCTAAATAAAAAAAAAAAATACTATGAACAATTAAACGGCATTTATATATATATATAAAAAAAGGAAGATAAGTTGAAGAGAAAAGAGAATTGTGGCAGGAGCAGCAGCAAGCAGCAGCAGCAGCAGCTACCTCCATGCAGGAAAGTTAGGTCAATAGCCTTGAGAGTGTCAGGGACGCAGGTTATTGCCCTGATGTCTCTGATCGATCGTCTAGTCACTGTTGGAATTTCCTACTGCGATGTTATTGCGTAGGTGGATACAATAATTGTTAGACATTCGACACGTGCTTCATAATGTTGCATGTTTGGAAAATGTTTTTATCTTTGATGATTTTCATCACGGAATGTTACTGTTTATGTCTAGTTTTAATAACCAACGAGTTTTTAAAAATATGCATTTTTTTTTTTTTTTTTTTTTTAAATTTTTCCATCAATATTTATCTTTTCAAATATGGCTTTATTATAAATGGCTCTTTGTAGATGCAATGAGAAAAACGAATCTGGTTGATGCATAAGTTATTTCCCTGTATTTAAAAAGATGTTGAAATTATGTTATATTGTTGCAGATTTTAAAATGAAGAATTTTAACGAAGGCATTTATTTAAATATTTAAAGTTAGATTAATTCATATTTATTACGTTAAAAATTAATATTAACGTAATGCAAATTTATTTAAAGTTGAGTAGATTTTCGAATTAAGATTCTGCATTTATTTTTTTTTTTGTATTATTATTATTATTATTTTTTCTTTCTTAATTGAATTGAAAAAAATCAAATCATATTTTATCCTTGATCTTTTATAAAATTTGTTTAAAAAAAACATCTTTAATACGGTGCAAACTGAAGAAACGAATCTTGTTTTAGAAACGATGCTTAAATTTTTTTTTTTTTTTTATAAGCATTCTTACAAAGAACAATTTTAAACTTGCGAACGAAAGAAGATTTTTGGCTCATTGCCTTCTAGGTTTCTGGTTATAGAAACCTTTTGGTGGAATTTCCCATGCGACTTAAAAAAAATGTCGATCAAAATTCCATTTGATTCACTATTGTCAACTGTCACCCAACTAAAAATCCAGACAAGGCACCTGTGACGTTGCTAACTTTTTCATCCCTTCTAGATCTGGTAAATCGAACTTAATGATGATCGACCGTTCACGCCTGGGGACACGGGTTGCTATAGCAACATAAGGCGGGACGAGAACCCCATTTGTCTACCCACCCGAAGGAAGGAGTTCTAATTTTCCATAGATTTCATGCTGTGAGAGAGAGGACACCTGGTATTTTTACACTCGAAGGACAACCAATAAAAATCTTAAGACAAATGCTCACCCTAACACATTAAACAAAACCCGGAAGATTTCATCTAATCTCTTAAAATTAAATCTGATTATTATATAGGAAGACAAGAGCCATAAGTTAAATTCTCGGTTTTTATATTCGTTTTTCCACGTAACCATGGACAAGAAGAGTCAAACTAGTCCATCATTTTGCTTAATTCCCATTCATTCATTCATTGATCGTCTCGGGATATCCACCCACCTATCAACAAAACCTATTGGTCATCTATTATTACTCATAAAGGCCATCCTGATTGATTTGCAAAAAGTAAAGGAATAATCTAAATTACAGTTAAACCAGACACAAAAATAATTCGTTTTATAAAGGGAATGAATTTCAAAATATCTTAATGATATTCTGTAATGGTTTAATCACGTTCCCATGAAGAATGCCTAATGGCATTTGGTTACGTCATGATAATATGAGCTGACGAAGTTGGGGTTAAGTTAGGTAAGTTGAAGTTAGGTTAGATAATTTGCTACTACAATATACGTAAAACAGTGCTATCGATTACAGCGGTATTAACTAACTTAAGCCGCATTACTTTTAGTTACGTTAATCTATCTCGTATTCTATAAAGTGTATCATTTTTGGCATTGCTTCTACCAAAAATATTTAGAGTATAACAATCATGCACTTCATTTAATTAATACTAAATTAAAAAAAAAAAAAAAAAAGTTGTAAAGGGAGACATTTATAAATGTCTCTTACAGAATAAAATTAACAAGACGAATAGGTTTTACTATATTATACAAAATTAATGAATGTAATCACGCTAGTTTAATTATTATTATTATATTTTTTAAAAGAAGAATTATTAAGAAAATTTGGAAAGAAGTTCTTCTAAAATGAACTTGTTACAGAAAAAGAACATTTTAAAGTAGCGCATGTATTTTTTGAAATATTGCCGTTCTATCGATTATTGTTTCGACGACTGATCATTTATCTTTCTAAAAAGAGGAACATTTTTTTTTTTAACTTTATCCTGTTATTGAACCGAATACAAAATTTTATTGTAGAATAATACAGCTACAATGATGCAACCATAAGAAGAGCATAATGCTAAATGTTTAATGTTAAATTTGCATTATAGTTTATCAATACACGATTTATAAATTAAAATATATTTTCGACTCTATAAACGTGGATTAAAAAAAAATTTTATTGCGTCCTTCACCTTGCGTAATTTTTCTAGGAAATTCGACTTTGTAGTAATCATTTTTGGTTTGTGTTAAGTTTTATGTCATTAAAATAAAACCGGGAATAGCAATAAAATAGCGGCAATAACCGCAAATTCTATATAAAACTATGGATAATAAAGAAGATCATTGTCCATCCCGTTATAAGTACAGGAGTACCAGATAAATTTTTAAGCAAAATAAGAACACCGAAAATGGTACACGCGTGTATCTTATAAAACATCGATAAACAATTGTGTCGTGCATTTATATCCCCCTTCACCCCCTTACCCATTATAGTAATGTGTCAAAAAGAACACGAAAAAGCACTAAACAATACCTTACTTTTAACAGAAAGCCTTATAAGAATAGGGATATGTACTTATTTACCTTACAAAGTTCGGAGGGGAAATTACCAATTAATTCATTAGCTCGTCTTACTAAAGATTCGGTGGTTACAAAAAGAATTTAATGAATTAATTAAAGATTTTTTTTTCATTATCTTTAAACTTAATTCTTCTTAAACATTAATTGTATTTTCATAGTATTAGGTTGGTTATATTATCCATTTAAATGTCGTATAATTTGCATAATTATTCTGGAGTAAAATCATCGAGAAAACATGTAAAATTCATCTTAAGGCAGGTAAAAGAATTTGGTTACTCATAAGAATATATACATTTTTAATTTTATATTGTAAAATTAAAGAGATAAACTGGCAATTAATTCCTTAGTTTTCTTAATTAATGTCGAGAAAGATTGAAGAATTAATTGATTATTAAAAAAAATAGCAATTTTATTGATCTTCTCGTTCATATACATCAACACATGTCACCATAAACAGCATTAAAATTCGTGTGCAATATAAACGAAGTCGTGTGTAAATCTAGAAAAATAATTAAGATAAGACGAGGAAAAAACGATCAAATATATATATTTACATATTTATGATTGTATATATTAATCAAATTCATCGTTTCTTAGAATAATTATTATATTTCGTAAAATATTAAATATAATACGTTGAGAATATTTGAAAAATTCATTGTCTGCATTACTTATTTTCGTGAAAATATATTTGTTGTTGAAGTATACTCAGAATGACGAAAATTAAAACAGATCCAGGAAATGAAATTTAAGTCGTGTTTGAAGAGAGAAGTATATTATGTCCATAATACATTATTTCTCTCCAATAACATCCAAATGTCAATAAACTTCGCCATCGTAGTTGCCGAACCTGCAAGACAGCCATATTGATTTCTAGTTACCAGTGTAACTTTCAGCATTCTGCATTTGTGGTGGATTATACATTTCGCTTCGTTTTCCCAGAATCTCTCTCTCTCTCTCTCCACCGTTTGAAGAGGAAAAAACTTATTTTCTTTTCATTCTATTGTTATTTCTATTCTTTTCTTTTTTCAATTTAAATTTATCGAACTAACACTAACATCCAAGGTAAAAATAATCTTCGAATTTTAATTGAATAAAGCAACTTTCGAAACACATTAAAAAATGGGATTAAAATTGAAATGGAAAGTAAGAAAAATGGAATCAATTTTAATTACACTTTTCTTTTGTTAGATTTACTGTTGTAATTGTAATCAGTGTAATTAAATTATAGAAAATTAGAAGAATGTACATTTAAACCTTTAAAATTTTATATAATGTAAGTAGATTTTTATTAATTTTATTATAGTTTCTCTAAGAATACACGCGATAAAGTATTACAGAAAAAATCTTATTCTTCCATCCCAATTATGTGCTCTTTATCTTTAATACCACTCTTAAATATTTAATGATTCTAACCGTCAGATCTTTCTCAACGTTCAAAATAATCCGATTTAAGTTTTATCAATAAAATAAAATAAAATAAAAACAACGTTACTTAGGGTGGAGCAACTACAACAGCAGCACGTATTCGATTTTGGAAAATTCAAAACACGACAGTATCTCTCCGGAATATGAAAAGAATATTATTTTTTTACTTTTAGAAGAAAAATAAACATAAAATATATTTTATAAGAGAAAAATTTCCAATGATTTTTTTTCAATTTGGATTCTTGCACACTTGCCAAAATATCATTGAAGAAGGGACAACAACCTTAACAGAGTTAACAATAACATTGAATCCTTCTCACAGTTAACCGGGAACGTTGCTTTCTTCGACCAATCCCAATAAAAGAATATAAAAAACTATGCGTCCTTTACCTGCGCATAAGTATAAATATAGCTTAAACCCGCATTCCTTCCCGGTAAATTTTATAAAACGTTTTTTTTTTTTAAATCTAACTTTAATAATTCGGCCATCTTTCCTTCTATGACGACACAACTTAATTGTTATAGAATAACGATTAATTGAGCGTTAAAATAAACATTTTTTTTGCGTAATAGAAATGCACTTTTTTCGTTTTCGTTTTCGTTTTTCGGAACTTACCTGAGTGACCGTTTTGACACGCGCTTCCATTCACTGCGCTATCTCCTTCAATGACAACTTTAGGTGGCTTCTGTGATGGTTTGTTAGCATCCACGATACCCACAGCATCTTCTGTACCGCTTCTAGAAACAGATGCTGCTGAAGCACTTGCTTTAGTATTTGCGCAACCCATATTCGTTAGAATTAGAAATCACTCGATTTAAAACAGTAAAAATTCCTTCTATTATATATATATATATATATATATTTTTTAGTACAAACGCGCGCTCCTAGGCAAGACTGCTTAGCAAACGCACTTCACTGTCCAGTGTTCGACTGCCGACTAGTGGCAAACACTGCTTTCCAACGGTAGGAATGCTGGACTTAAAATCCAATATGTCTGCTTCCATTGATCGGTTGTTGCTTAACTGTACCTCACTTCACTTTGTGTATATTCCTATATTATTTCTATCGCGTGATCATTTTGCGTGCCAAAATATTTTATATATTGGGCATTTATTTTTTTTTTATGATTTTTACAGATATTAAATTTATCAACATCTTTTATTAACTTCGTATCGAATATCTGTATTCTTAGAGAAATAGTATTAACATTTATACATTGCATTTATAATTGTTTATACATTTTCTATCCCTCTCCTCCTGCTCCTCCTCCTCCTCTTCCTCCTGCTCCTCCTCCTCCTCTTAGAAGAAATTTGCTACGAATTTAAATTAGAAAAAAAACAAATTATATATTATTTAATTAATTTTCTGATGCCGAAAATTGTATTATTTTTTTTAAATTAAAATATATTTTCGACTCTATAAACGTGGATTAAAAAAAAATTTTATTGCGTCCTTCACCTTGCGTAATTTTTCTAGGAAATTCGACTTTGTAGTAATCATTTTTGGTTTGTGTTAAGTTTTATGTCATTAAAATAAAACCGGGAATAGCAATAAAATAGCGGCAATAACCGCAAATTCTATATAAAACTATGGATAATAAAGAAGATCATTGTCCATCCCGTTATAAGTACAGGAGTACCAGATAAATTTTTAAGCAAAATAAGAACACCGAAAATGGTACACGCGTGTATCTTATAAAACATCGATAAACAATTGTGTCGTGCATTTATATCCCCCTTCACCCCCTTACCCATTATAGTAATGTGTCAAAAAGAACACGAAAAAGCACTAAACAATACCTTACTTTTAACAGAAAGCCTTATAAGAATAGGGATATGTACTTATTTACCTTACAAAGTTCGGAGGGGAAATTACCAATTAATTCATTAGCTCGTCTTACTAAAGATTCGGTGGTTACAAAAAGAATTTAATGAATTAATTAAAGGTTTTTTTTTTCATCATCTTTAAACTTAATTCTTCTTAAACATTAATTGTATTTTCATAGTATTAGGTTGGTTATATTATCCATTTAAATGTCGTATAATTTGCATAATTATTCTGGAGTAAAATCATCGAGAAAACATGTAAAATTCATCTTAAGGCAGGTAAAAGAATTTGGTTACTCATAAGAATATATACATTTTTAATTTTATATTGTAAAATTAAAGAGATAAACTGGCAATTAATTCCTTAGTTTTCTTAATTAATGTCGAGAAAGATTGAAGAATTAATTGATTATTAAAAAAAAATAGCAATTTTATTGATCTTCTCGTCCATATACATCAACACATGTCACCATAAACAGCATTAAAATTCGTGTGCAATATAAACGAAGTCGTGTGTAAATCTAGAAAAATAATTAAGATAAGACGAGGAAAAAACGATCAAAAGTTTATTTTATACATTTTTTTTTACCGAAAAAACAGCAACAATAACATATTTTCTTATTCAGAAAACGTATTATTATTATTATTATTTATACGAGAGTTATTATTTTCTCAAGAGGAAAATCGAAGCTGCTGTTACTATAAACTCATGAAACATTTCCTTTTAGTATTATATTTCAAAAATAAATATCTAGTAAGTAAAATGTTGAATTCGGTTTAACATTAATTAATTTACTCTCTTGAATAATTGTAGAAAAAGTTAACACCGTAACGGAGAGAATTAACAACATCGCAAGATATAACTCCCAAACGTCGACTTATCAAAGGTGTGTGGCCGAGTCAATGGAGCATTACAACAGGCCGTACCACTTTTGATGGGGTAAGAGATGAAGTCAGAGATATACCACTCTCTAGTTTTATCAATAACAAATTGATATCTCGAATAACTATCGTTTATATTCCAAGGTTTATATTTTCATCTACATTTCTATATAGGTTAAAAAGTAGAGCAATATATATATAAACATTCATGCAAATAATCCTTTTCTGGTATTGTGTACGTAGTTATTTTCTAATAATTATCAAAGATTCCGTTTTAAAATAGGTACTCTGTAAGATCCACACGCAAGAAATTGGCCATGTAAATAGTTTCTGATTGGATTGCAGTGGAATAGGTCTAGTAAATCACTAGGAACCACGTGGATAGAACGTCTAGTATAGCATCAGTCTTCTTCTCCTACTATCTACAGAAAAATGCCCACATTTACAATGTTATCGACTGTTTGCAGCTTCTAGTTGCATGTTTTTCTACACGACAGAAATACAATTTTCTCAAGAAGCTAATAAAAAATGTTGATAAAAGATTTAATAAAATCGATCAATTTAATTATTTTTTAAACAATTGCTCAAATTATAAATTTGGAAAACAGGAAAAAAAGGTAACGAAACACTGTAATGTCTAGAAAAATCCGATCATTGTTATTATTTATTCTATTTTCTAAGACACTCTCTTTACGAAAAGTCACGAGTAGCATTCATTATTTATGAAGTTCCTTTCTGAATTTTCACATTTTAAGAGATTTTTATTCAAATGATAGCACGGTTACTTCAATAATATTATCATATATATATAGATAGATAGATATATTTTACCAAAGGCATTTTCTTCATTTATTGTATGTGATATTTTTTATCTCTAGAAACTTTGCATAAATTGTAAATTTCTTATTTTTCTCTTACTTCTTGTTGAATTACTTGAAGAAAAACTGAAGAAAAAAAAGGGATTTTTATTGACCATTGACATAAAACTCCTCTTTGGTTGATACGAAAAGAAGAAGAAGAAGAAGAAGGGGGAAAAAAGACAATTTGTTGGACATTTAACGAGCGGTTCCACGTAGATAATGCCTTGTTTTAATAGTTAAAATAATTTTAAGCTCTTTCCATTCTTCTGCTTCGTAAGAGATTTCGATACTTTCGTTAGATTTCGTCGATATTATTTATGAAAAATACAACTTCTAATGATTAATAGCCTTTCGGTATTAGTACTAAATTCTGATTTAGAAACTAAGTACCACCGTCTGAGAAATTTGATGAGTCAGTAAGTAGTGAGTCAGTCCGGAGGATCAACTCTATTATAATAATAAAGATTTTTGTGCTTTATTTATTTTACACGAGTGGAGTGCCTGGGTCGAATCGAAACCCGGAATGAGTACAAGAGAGAGGTACAAGGTCGAGACAAATCTTAATCAAAAGCCGAGGGGATTCTCATCACATTGACAAACCAGTCAATGCTGTCACGTGATTAATCTCTGACGAACGAGAAAGGGCGCAGATGGCGAAGATGGAGAGATGGACGGTTTGCTTAGTCGAGGTCATTGGCCTGGACGAATAGGTGAGGAAGGTCAGTGGGAGATAGATCCAGGAATCAATTTTATGACTCCTGTGGAGAATACTCACTTCTATATTTAGAGAAAATTAAAGCTGAGGAAGAAAATGTTCTGGACGTAGCAAGTGTATTAAGTCTCATATATAGAAGAAAGTCTAGAAAAGATAATCTATAGGATCAGATGGGTCATAATGTAATGCTGCAAGTTAGATTTTTGTGTGAAATAAAGTTTTAATAAGATAATTGTTTGAAGAAGATAAATGATATTTGGATTAGAAGTAAAGTATTTACGTAGATGTCATTGCAAATATGCAATATTTCACTTATCTTCCCTTAATGCATGAAGCAATAACGTTAGTAACATTACTTAAAAAAAACAGCCTATTGTTTTCATAGAGAATACTTAAAATAAAATTCGATATATCCTGAAAACTTTAGAAAAACAAAACTTTCAAGAATTATCTTGAATGGTATGACATATTGCATTGTAATTATCACGACATCATTTTGCTTTTAAGGCAATTAGAATCGTCAACAGCATATAATAATAAAGTAACCATCATAAATACATGATAAAGTATTTTATTTAATATTATAAATGCTTCAAATATCTTTTGTTCTTTCAAAAAGTAAAACTATTCATGTTTTATCAAATATTGCAATCGTTTTTCAACTGTTATCCTTCCTAGATTTGCAAATATACAAAATCCATTCGAGATATATCCTTTGGATTTGTTTCCTTATAAAGATATTCCATCGAGAATATTATCATACAATTTCATAAATCAAATATTGGAGATCTCTCTAGAATTTTTACTACATAAAATCTTTTCAGGATATAGTTTAGGATTTTTGTTTTGTAAAGAAGGATATACACACATTGCTCTGAAATTATTATCATATTCTGCTTAATACGATGTCATGGATATTTGGAATCCTGAAGAGTCCATTAGGATCATTAAAGAATCCTATTAGAAAGCTATTGTATTAAGGAAATCGTTAGAATCCCAATAAGATTCTCCCACAGACTATCAACAAGACGAGGAAATTCTATTAAGAGCTTGAATAGATGCTTTCAAGTCTCTCAGTAGGATATTTGTATTACTGATAATATATTCAACCGTAAGATTAGAGGAAGATTGTTGCATCTATTCATCTTCAAAGCAAAAAAATTAATGAAGAGAATAAAAAAAAGAAGAAGAAAATCCAATTTTCCACACGAGAAACGTTAAAAATACATCCAATTTAATAAGAAAAACTTATGCAAATCTCAATTAATTACGTTATATAACTCCGAATAAAGTTTAAACGAGTGGAATTTAATCATTTCAGTTTTACTTATTAAGAATTGTTAGTCAGAATTTCAGTGACTATCCAGTTGCCAAGCTGAATCTGCAGACTGTAACCTAATAGCTTTCTACACAATTCGTGACCTCTTAGCATTCTTCAGTGATTACTACTAACAGAAACAGCATCTAGCGCATCGTTATAATCGATAGGGACGTTTAAAATCATTTCCAGTTAGAAATATATAATTATCATCATTATTATGGCAACAAGAAATCGAACTATGACAACACAAAACTGTATTTTCCTTTACAAACAAATACGATTCTTCCAAGTCGTTTAATACTAAGAAAGACTTATAGTCGAGGCAATGAAAATGAATGATCTTTCTCAATTAAATGGAGAAATAAAATGGGTTTCAGTTTGCTACTCTTCACAGATTAGACTATTATAGGGAATTTTATGGTTTGTATCACTCCCAGTTTCGCTGTTCTTCAACAATAAACGTTTATATATTTAAATTTTTAAGATTAAATTTAATTAAATGAATAAATATCGAATTATAATTATTTAATTAAGAATTAAAATCTTTTCACCTTTTTTTTCACCTTTTAATTGCTCAAAAAACTAATTTTATTATCTGTTGTATTGATAGTTGCGATGGAATTCATCCTGTAAATGATACTTTCCCGCTAGCTTAGGAGCTATACAGAGAAGCCGAACTGATCGGCGGTTTTTTTTATTTCTTTACAGAATGTAGCAGAGGAAGAATGGTCTTCGAAAGGAAGAAGATATTTCAAAAGAAAGCAGATCTACTCATCAGGCAATCCTTGTTGTTGGGGTGGAGTTAGAAGCATCCCTGGATAAATCAATACCACTCAGAATGTTTTCCTACGCCACAAAGAAAACAACCGAGCTGTCAGAAGTTTGTGAATGCTCTAAGTCGATAAAATCCTAAAGAAATACATAAATAAATATTTACAAGGATTGTAACTATATATATAAATAAATTCAATATATATATAATTAATGTTATATGGTATCTACTAACACTTAACCGGAGTTTATATACGTATACAATACCTTATAAAATTTAAAGCTTTTGAAGAACGATTTTTATAAATGAAGAGTTTATGAATGGAAAAGTATTTTAACTTTTATGTAATTGAAATTTATAAGCTTTATTATTATTATTATTATTATTTTCTCATTTAAACATTAATCGAACGTTTAAAAATTTTAGTATAACTCCCGTTCTTTCTATTTTTAAGCTGAAAGATATTATTAAAAGTCAAGATAAAGGTGTGTTTTTTTTAAACGGATAGATCAATGAACGAACCAATAAAATTTAGTTTTATTTTTTTTAATTTTCTAAATTTATCTTTTCAATTCTTTCGGATGATACGGTGTAGACCATAAAGAGAAAACGTGTTTCATTTGTTGATACGAATTGCTTGCTAGACGATCGAAAAAATCGACAAATCGAGCTTATATTATAATATATAATCGGTAGAATAAGAGTTTAATCGATCGATTTTAGAAAATTTTAAACATTTACATCATCTATACAATACTTTTGTATAGCAATTAAGTAATGTACCTTAGAGAATAACATAAAAGTTAACTCAAAGGAAGATAGAAAATAGATGGTTGCGGTCGAGATGATTTGTTATCTTTATATCAAAACCTCAAATGATAGCCATTTGTAGAAAGAAACGAGATATTTGGTGAAAAATAACGTAAAAGAAATTCGTGCCAATGTATTACTGATACTGTTCCTAACGAGTAGAAATGGCAGCCATTTTGTAATCTGTCCTTTAACTTAGAAATGTAAAAATTTGATGGCGAAAAAAAATCTTTTGTTATAACAGCTTTTAAAAACATTTTGTTTTCTGTTTTCTGTAGATACGCGATTTCGACGTATGGTAAACCTTTTTCTTTTTCCCCCCTTTTTTTTTAACTTGGGCGGTCACTCTGTCAACACGGAAGCTGTCTTTTTCTGTTCTTCTTCCAACGTTCTCTTACTCTTCGATCGATTGAGCTTAGAGGATAAGTTTATTGTACTTGATACTTAACTTGATCTTCATTCCAATTCAGAAATGAAAAAAGAAATGAAACCAAAACTAAATTATTTATATAAATTAAATTATAAGAAAAATGGATGATTTTTTTTCAATCATTTAAAGATGTTTATAAGATATATATAAGATTTTAAGTTAGAAATTCAACTTAAATCTACGAATCTGGACTTAAAACTTTAAGAATAACATAGAGCCATACACAAATGATTAATTTTAAATTATGAGAAAGTAAAATAAATTGTGGATAAGTAAAAATTACACGAAAAATTACTAAACTTTCGTGAAATAAAAATTTAGTTGTAAATTTATCAAAGTACAACTCATTGTAAAATAAAGAAAATAATTATTTAACAATGTCTACTACGTGATAATTAAATCGACGATATGAGATTTGCATCGTAACCATAAATAAGATCGTTTCTCTCCCTCTAAAAATCATCCTAAACAAGATTCGTAACGGATCCATATAATCTCTTTTAGTCACGAGAAATATCGTAAATTTACATGGAAAAGATTATTTCTCTACAAAATGAAGACCATAAATACAAATTATTAAATAAGAGAGACTTTTATATAGTTAAATTTTAATATTTATTCTACTAACAACTTTACAACATCATAATTGATCCAAGTGATAACTGAATACGTATATCTTAATAGATAAATTAGAAGTAGAGAGAAAATGCAGACGATGTATCAACTTGTTAAGTGGAAAATTATAATTTAAACTGTGATATCTTGTTATATTTTAATGATTATATTAAGGTAAAAAGATAAAGCTTGCTTGGTTAATAAATTAAGATTAAATGGTATGATTTAGATAAAGATATTTGAGTATATTTTAATAAATAAATCGTGTAAACCTTTATATGAAATTTTAATACATAAAAATATGCAGTAATTAAATGGAAAATTATAATTTAAACTATGTTATTTAGGTATATTTTAATGGATATATTAAAGATAAAGATGCTTCTTTAGTAAATTCAGGTGTTAAGGATGACTTATCTATAGATTTCTGCATACATTTTCATTGATAAATTAAAGAAATCTTTATAAAAAATTAAAAAATCCACATTCAAAATGAATATTCTTAATTTATTTAAAGATATTTCGCGAATAGTTTAATGTACAAATCAAGGAAAGACAGTAAATATAATTTATTACGTAAACTGATTTTAATATTTGCATAATTACATGTACAAAATATTAATCTTATAGTTTAATAACCGAATAAATTTTAATAGATAAATTATGGCAAGAAAGTTAAGATGCTTCATCACAAGACTACAACGCATTTAATGGTTCATGAGCCCCTGGGACAGGATATAAGCTTAAGTCTAGCAATAAACCGAGACAGAATGAAAGATAGTTGGGAGGGAAGAAGATCGAACCTAAACTCTTATACTTCAGTTACATATATATATTCCAATAATGATAAGTAATGAATTAATATAAATGCGTAGAGAAGATTTCGGTAAAATTTGATAGAAAACTAAAACCGGAGGCGTTAATATTAGCGATTTTTCTTTGATTTTTCCAAGGCGGAAGGCCTAGAGTGATATGGGACACTCCATCTTCCCTCCTGGTTGCTTATGGACGGTGCCCGGATGTTGGACGTATCGACCAGCCAGGGCCAAGTTCACGGTGCATTCACCTAGCTATTGCTGTTATGATTGGTTACGGCAGCTTGACGTCATAAACGCGAACAGATATTTGCCGGGAAATATCGGAAATTAATAGCAGAAATTCGGTATTAAAAAAAAAATCGGTATAAAATAGTCTGACCATTACTAAGAGAATACTTGTGACGTCAGGTGATTTTTTTTTAAATATTTAAATCTGCAATAGAATTTATTGCTTATATACAAAAAAATATATATATATTTTATTAAGACGAAAATAAAATAATGTAAAATTTATATCGAATTGTGTCTTTGAGGTAAAAAAAAAAAAAAAAAAATTTAAATTTTGATTTGAAAATTTAATAAAATTCGAATTACTGCCATCTGACGGCAAAATTCGATGTGATTTTTGAAACGCCTCTAGCGTCAAATTAAAAATTAAATGATTGATTTATTATATTTACGACGTAAATTTTTTAAAATTATAAATAAAAAAAAATTCATTTTTATTTAAATTATTATTTTATTTAATCGATGAATAAATAATAAATTATTAAAACTGTTCTACATATAAAAAAAATTTATAAGTGGGTATTTTTATCATTTTGCTAAATCTAAGAGATATATCTTATTATAATTATGCAAACAGTTTTGCTAAAATGTAAAAGAAAAAAAAAGAAAGAGAGGAAAGTTTAACAGGATTAAAATCACATCAACGTTTCTCATAATATATTCACCAGTTGGGAATTCCAATGACGTGTTTTCCGATATAGTCGCTAGAGGCGCATCTATCGGGATGTTTTGTCTGTCGGCGGCGACCACCCGCTGGTCACTTATTTGGGAGACAAGTGATTATGTTACGGTATATTTAGGTGTTAGTCCGGAACTTGCCGTCTATAGAAAATGTGTAACAGCTGACATGTATCTTCGGCATCTCTTTATGCCTACTTCTCTCTTTAAATGCGACTCGTTATCTTTAGAGCGTTCATTAAAAGCAACAGAATTGCGATCATCCCCCTCGGTTTTCGCTCGAGTATGTGTGAAATTCTATTAATATAACGATCGGCATGTTAAAATTAAACATATTAAGGTTGAAAAAACGTGCAAATTATTATTTAAAAGACATATTTTAATTAGAATTTATCAAATTTTTCATGCTACATCACTCTGCAATACGGTACATATCAAAGGAAGTAACATAAGGTTTCTGTTAGCATTTCCTGGTGTTGATTTCTTTAATAGGAAGAAACGATTAATGTTAGATTATAATGAAAAATATCATTTAATTATATAGTATTTTATAATAATTTAAGCTTCTTATACATAAAAACGAAGCGTTAAGTAACGTTCTACTCGTTTAACTATAGGATCGGTGGATGCTACTTAGGGAAAGTCGTACATTTCTTTTTCGTATAAACAATTCCTCTTTAAAACAAATCGAGGCACCGGGTGTACACGCGACTTATACTAAGTAGAAATAAACAGTTGGTTGTTGCATAAAAACCGTATTTTATAGGGCATTTACTCCATTGGATGAGCAGTAGGAGGAAGGAAGTTTTCATGGTTTCTTTTCTCTCCCTTCCAGCTGTCAATTTATAAACATTTGTCACAATAATTTTGAATTTTTTTTCCCCTTTACATATTTTCCTATTCTCTTGTATCTTGTTTAGATATTAAAATGAAAGTGGAAGTGGGGAAACTTTGCCTATAAATTATAGAAACGGTATTGGAGAAACGAGAAATTTCTCTTGGTGATCGTATATAAAATGTATGAATTTTGCATTCGATCGCTTTAGATTTAAGAAAAGAAAATAAAAAAAAAAACAATGTAAATATTTCTTTCTTAGTTAAATATATTTGAATAATTACATATTTTGAATATATATTTACGTTATTTTAACGATTTTAGAAGTAAATACTAGAAATCTGCAAATAATTACTTTAAATTTTCTGTAAAAATTATAATTAAAAAGCATTATAATTAAAATTAAAACATTCTAAGAGAGAAAAAAAGTAAAATTTTAAAAGTTAAGCCATCTCTTAATGTATTTACTTTATATTATGCATTTATAGGGCATAAAACATCGTTTTTTACAGTGGTAAAAATGCTCTTTAATATTTAAAATATTGTATTTATTTTATTGATAAATAATATTTTAAAAAAGCTTAAAAAGTACCAATCACTATCATCGTCTGAAGTAGAGGATGCTGAGGATGCTGAGGATGATGATCAGAACGAGATGGAGGACTTTTACGTGATGCTCAATCCAGTCCATCATTATTATTTGAACTGGATGATGATGATGATCAGAACTGGATATGTTCTCTATCTAGTTTTAATCACGAATTTATTATCTCAATTTAATTTGCTAAGTATTAGAAGCAACCTTAACGCGATAGACATTACATGACCTGTAAGCTCTGTACTGTGTAGAAAAAGCTCTACCGTGTTGAAAATTTAAATAAAAAGAAAAAAAAACCTTCCAGAATATGGTGAAAATTTGACGAGAGATGAAAAACTATCTCAATGTTTATATTATATTCTTGGTACGTCGACCACCTCCGAGTTTCGACGTTAAAGGTCGAGCCCTACTAATCCGGTGTCTTGCAAACTCCCAGCAATTTGTCTCTGTTACCATATCCCCTTACGACGTGACGTCACAGTTCATACGACGACTGACGAAGAGAACCGAGGTAGATTACATTACATACAGCACTAGAAGATTGATCAACTATAGACATTGACGTACCTGTTAAAGTATAAGGTCGATCTGTGTCTATATGAGCTATGTATCTTTTCCCATTGGATAAACAAGAGCTTACTTTTATAATTTTCCATCTGGATAAGTATAATGAGAAAACTATTTTTTTATCTTCATAAATATATTATTTATCATTTTTTGCTGCAGAAGTCTTTAGATTTTAAACAATTTCTGACGTTTTTTCGATGATTTTCTCACAAAAATTTTGAAGCCTTTATTATGCAAAAGCCCCAGTATTAAAGACAGCAGAAAATTTCAAATTTTAAATCCTCTTAATGCTACAAAACACATAAATATTAATTAATTTGTAAAAAAAACAAATTATTATTAAATTTTCCCCACATTTTTAATGAATATTTAAGGATTTTTTTAAAGATCATTTTACATTATAAACACACCACGTGCCACGTACTACACAGAATTAATTGAAGATACAAACGAAGAAATGTTTGGTTAATAACGCGAAAGACACTATAATTACTAATATTTTAATATATAGCCTATATTTTTTAAGGTTACCCTTCATTGTTATCTCGTAAATTATCTGATCTCATTTAAGATATATACGACGGTTAACAAATAGCATTTACAGGGTGGATTTTTTCATTCGGTTAAAATCTACATCATCAGCATTTGTCACCTTGTTTTGTCAGTTGCTACAATGACAAGAACATCTCATCGCTAGAAAACGCGACAAGAACCCATAAGTCAGCCACGTAAATGGTTTTTACCGCCCCAACCAACTATTAGCACGTCATTGAACTAGGGGAATTTTAGTTTTTCGTTCCCCTGAAACGAGAGAAAATGCTTCGACTCGATGACTGAAAGAGATTTATAAATACCGGAAATATGAACAGAGTAAAATTGTAAGAGAAATTTAAAAGAGAATCGTTGGTTTATTCGAATGGAATTTATCTGATTGTGATTTCGGTAAGAGTTATTCTTCACTTTTTATTCGAAATTCCCAATAGAAAAATGGTTTTAAGGTTATAGTAAAGTGTTTTCTTCTTCTTTTTTTTTCAATAGAAAATGTAGATAATCGCATTTAGATGAAGGTATTTTAAAGCATTTAAAATTCTATACAGGTGTCTTTCGGCGGGAAAGTTAAACTTCTCCTTTAACATCTGTCCAACAGTTCCTTTTAGGTGACAGTTACCCAACACCACCTCCAATCTCATCCTTCGTCGCTTTGCCAACACTTTTTGCTTCTTGATTGGATGGTTAAGTCCCGATGGGCGTGATCTAAACTTAGTTCTTTTCTAAGTCGACAAGGTAATATTTTTAATGAAATCGAAAGTCTTCTCGAATAGTAAAAACGTCGAAATTCTCATCTCAATATGTCAACCCTTTGATGAATTCTTTTTTTTTTCTCTCCCTTAATTTCTTCCGAGGAAATTAATTAAAGGTAAATATTTTTATTCATTTATTCTTATATTTTATAACATTTTTCTTATTTTATAATTTAAAAAAACAAAAAAAAAATGTTTAAAATTCCAAAGATACTCTTTAATTTAATAATTGTTAAAGTTTTAAACAATAATTCTCTCTATTATTAGAGTGCAAAAATACGTTAAAAGTTTATATTACTAATATAGAAAATAATTATAATTATTATTAAATCTTATAGCAAAATTGTATTGTAGATAATTATAAATAAAGATTAGGAATCAAATTATATTTCACTTTACTCACGCTCTATAACAGTTTAGATGAATGAAAAGTGTATTTTATTCGTTTTAAAATCAACTTTTATAATTTATTTTATAATTTTTAAATATATAATTATTATTATTATTTTTTTATACGGCTAAATCATTAGAGTTTGGTTTTAGAACGAATGATTTACATTCTAACTTTACTGTAAATAGTATGATTTTAAATGTTTCTGCATCCTCTATTCTATGAAAATAAGTAAATTTAGTTAATATAACACTTGTCTATTCCTTTATATTATTAAATATACCAATTAATTTATTATAAATCCATAATACTTATCACGCTCCTGATGCTAATTGAGTTAAAATTACTCAAAAGCTAGTAGAATACAGACTCAAAACACCATTCTTGTAGATATAAATTGATCTAAAATGGCTTCAAATAAGTGAAATATTAATAGATAACTTTATAAAATGTATTATTTTTTTATTCATAAATTATATAATGTATAAAATAAAAGAGATAAAAAGTTACATCACTGTAGTAGACCCCCTATAACACTGTTGATAATTCCGTTTTATATGAATTTCATGTTGTACCAGTCACTTAAATTTTACAAATACGTGTGCCGGGCTGTGAACGGCTCACGTATTTGTAAAATCTAAGTGACTCGTACAACATGGAATTCATATAAAACGGAATTATCAACAGTGTTATAGGGGGTCTACTACAGTGATGTAACTTTTTATCTCTTTTATTTTATACATTATATAATTTATGAATAAAAAAATAATACATTTTATAAAGTTATCTATTAATATTTCACTTATTTGAAGCCATTTTAGATCAATTTATATCTACAAGAATGGTGTTTTGAGTCTGTATTCTACTAGCTTTTGAGTAATTTTAACTCAATTAGCATCAGGAGCGTGATAAGTATTATGGATTTATAATAAATTAATTGGTATATTTAATAATATAAAGGAATAGACAAGTGTTATATTNATACGTCGAAATTAAATTAATGTAATTACATATTTATTAATTACTAAATAGAACCATTTAATACAAAGAATGTCTGCTGTTTCTGATATGTTTATAATCAATTAATTTCAAGAGAAAAGGAATGATGAAAAGCCCGAAGCGTTTTCATCCGCCATTTTGTTTAATCTTAAGCAATGAATTTATTTACTTGTATAGTAAATTCCCCTCCGGCATACGATTCCGCAAAGAGGCAGCAACCTGCCTCGGAGCGATTTCATCTCTTTGGGGACCACCATTAAAACTCTTGTGTTTTTATTGCTAGGAAACTGCGCGGTTCGGATTACCGGATTACCGGGCAGAGGTCAAAGGTCAGTGCCATAGAGTGATGGGGTAGAGGTTATGTCAAAAAAACATACATAACATTAAAATAAACAAACTTCTGTACTGTGAAATTGCTCATAATTTCATTTTCTTTTTGATTTTTTTCGTACTTTGTAGCAGCTTACTTGTTCGTTACTTACTTATCGATGCCATGAATTATTTTCTGTAAAGAAAGGACACCATTATTATTATTATTTTTGTAAATAATTAAAACACGAAGGATTAAAAATATATTTTATATAATTTAAATTATAAAGTAATTATTTTTAACAACGAATTTTTAAGAGAAAACTTCTTGAAGATTTGGAAATTTTTATTAGAATTTTTCACTAAAATTTCGATAGTTGTAGGGAATTTTTACCACCGAAATTGTACAAAATATCGATAATTATTTAAATTTCAACTTAAATAAATTAAATAATATTTATTTTTTTTAAAATAAACATAATTAAAGCGAACGTATTTAAAAATACAATTCCAAATTCACTTATAAACATGCGATTGATGTAAGAAATTTTCTATCTTTTGTAATTAATTTAATGATTTTCTATATTTATACACTTAAATTTAAAAAAAAGAAGAAGAAGAAATTATTTACAAATATAATTTTAAACAGAAACAATTATTTTAATTCAAAAAAAAAAAAAAATTGATTTTGTTCTTTCCATTTTTACATTAAGATAATTGCTTGTTTTCTTGTAAAGTCTCCATTGATCTTTCGATTATTTCGTAAGAGGTATGCGGTTCCTTCCTAATTATAGTTTAAAAATAATATTAGAACATACCATTTTAAATTTATCTTGTTAAATAAAAAAGAAAAACATCAGCGAGTTACTTACTTACTCATCAGAAAGCGATATCTCGTGTTCTATACAAGGAACTGTCAGTCAATATCTACATCCTTCAGAGCAGTTTGTAATTAATTTACTAATAAAGTATTAATTAAATTAATTAAAATAATTATTCAAAGATTTTTTTTAATATATTTTTTTTATTGTTAATAATAATTATATTATAATTTTTTGTAATAAAATTTGATTAAAATTAAACAGGCCTTTGCTTAATTGACAAGAAATGAGATGTAATAAATAATTTGGAAAAATATCTTTGAGGCCCTATAACTATGAGGCCCTGATCAAGTGATTTTTTTTTCTTTTGATAAGGCCTGTTAGCTTAGCTATTAATTAATTCTTTATAATGTTTTCAAGGGGTACGGAGTTCAGAGGTCAATTTGTAACAAATGTTTTTGAAAGTCTCTTAAATGTGTAGCCTGGGCCAAATATCCTTGTTGATTTTCCTGTGTCAGAAGATGCTACTTCCTTATAATATATTCCATTTAAAACAGTTCATTATCAACTATTTTTGCATGTTATCAATGATTAATTATCACAGAGTTTATTATCGATCATTCGCTGATGCTCAAGAGACTCTTAAATCTCTACTATAATAAATATATAATTTATGTACATTATATTTTACACTTATTTGCAATTAATTATTCGAATATATTACAAAATTCTTTTTATTAACAAATTTTTTAAATATATTTAGAACTTAGAAATTATATAAAAGTTCTGATAGAAGAGGTCAGTAGGGCCATTTTGCAAGGATCTAGACACAGGAGGGCCCCAAAATTTGATGTTTTACGTGAAACAAAGACCGTATGAAAGTAATAAATTGAAAAAAAATATATTTTTTTATTTGTTTTATTAACTTTATTCATATGTTTTTATTGCTCTCGGCCAGGATATTGCCCCACATTACGAATGGTTTGAGCCTCTTCTCATCTCTCTCAGCGCTTGATTATTAATATAAATTAATTTTAATTATTATTTTAAACACCTAATTAATCATTTTTAATTAATAAATCAAAATTTTAAGACACTATTTAATCCCCATAACGCTCGCTTTGAGTTTCTAAGCATCTATTACGAAGCAAAGCTTAGCGCAAATTTAATGTAATTTAATGCAATTCCTATTAAACATAATAAATATTTAATAACATAAAAATCTTAAACACATTAATTTATAAATATATATATATATTTTTCATGTTAAGAAAGAGTATTTCGCTACGAAAATCGAATAAGGTAAAGTAAATTTCGTTTCTCGTGTCATACACGAATCCATTATATTTACATGAAATATTACAAAATCTTTAAAAATAATGGATAAATCCGATATAAAAATTATAAATTTTTTCGTTGTAATCTGTAATTTTTATACACACAATTCACGTAACAATCTACATTCATAAATCATAGTGTTATAACGAAGAAACTGTACTGTACTGATGGTAAACCTATATACAAAGAATTACTTCCATATGTTTAGATATTCTCACAATAAATCCTTTTTTTTTTTNTTTAGTTATTGTAAACTTTTATTAATTTATATATCGGATGATCAAATATCTTCACTTTAGGAGTGCCACAATGATGGACTCGAACCTGAACGACCTCCATCCTCTAGAGGAATCGTCATTAAAATGAGCTGTAAACTATTAGTTTTATACTATAAAATTTAAAATAATTAATAGGGAAACTATTTCAGATCCTCCCTGAAATGGCCAGAAGAAAAAAAGACGAAGTATCACTGAGACAAGGAGGTAAAAAGATTCAAAGAAATGCAGCTAATGCACGCGAACGAGCCAGAATGAGAGTTTTGAGTAAGGCTTTTTCCAAGTTAAAAACCTCTTTACCATGGGTTCCAGCTGATACAAAATTATCTAAGCTCGATACCTTAAGGTTAGCAGCCAGTTACATCTCTCACTTACGACAGATCTTAACAGAAGATGCGCCTCAATCTTCGTCCATTCATCCTATCACTTTGGTGAGTATTTCTTTGACTTGGAACACGGTTGTATTTCGTAGTTTATTATTAAATAAGAGTTTTGAATCATTCTTTAATAATAAATTGTATCATAAGTTATACAGTATTTTAAAAACATTCGGCATGTTTATTATATATATATATATTTTTTTATAAAATTTTTGGAGTTCGAAATCTGTTTCGTTTCGTGAAGAACAGAATTGCTAATAACTTAAAAGAGGGCCAAAACTAAGATAAACAACGAGACATTTACTGCTAGAAGACTTTGTCGCTGTTTGGACAATGTGACATTCCAGCTGGTTCCTTTCAAACCGGATACTACTGTAGAAGGAAATGACGTCAAGAATGACATCACGCTAAAACACCGCCTGGTTGCGAAAGGAGAAATTATTTTTCTGAAGTCTCCTTTTCCCCCCAAAAAAATTTTTGTGTTTATTACTATTATCAAAACAATTTTTCTATTTCTAATTTAAGATTTAAATTGGTTTCATTTAGATTTCTCCTTATAGAATTCGTATTACAATGACTTTTCAAATAGGAAAATATAATAAGTCTTTATATTTAAAGAGTGTAAAGACATAAAGATGGGATATTTTAAAATTCTTCGTAAAGGGTGTCGAATCATAACGATTTGTGCTATAAATATCTAAAAATGCGTTCAATTTGTAGGGGCGTCAGGTTGAATCAACTTGTATGTTTGTCGTAGCAAAGTCGCACAAACAAACCCAACGTCTGTTTGGACAATAAAGTTTGTAAGAAGACATCTGTTGTCTTTCAACTGACACACATTCCAGGAACGGTTGTATAACTCTCAAAGAAATAAAGTTTATATCGTATATAATATAATCTCTCTCCCTCTATAACGTTAATTTATTTTTTCTCTTACAGCCTTAACGTTTTAAAAAATATATATATAAGTATGAAATAGCATTTAAACAGGAAATTACTTCATGTTTTCGCGTAATGTCACATTTTCTGTGTTCTAAATTGCTAGTAACGTGATTTCCCACACCACGTAAGTCTTGTTACATATAATAATTCAATTTTATGAAATAAAATATATATAAAATTTCATATTTTTCTACGAGAGTTATAAAACAAATTATTTTTAAACTTANAAAAAATAAATATATATATATATACGGACGAAGATGATGATGAAAATTTTTAGTACTAGAAAAAATTTATAGCGATTTCAATTGTATCTTTTCAGACTTGGCCATTTCATTCTAGGCCCATGCATCATCACGAAGAAGAGCAATCGGAGAATTTCGATCGTAACGATGAAAATTGTGAATCACCTACGACATTTCACGATATTTCATCTACGAATTACGGTTTAGTTCAATGTTGTGATTATCAAAGTTATTCGGACTTACAACAGACAGTCGATCTGACCGCTCAGTTTCTTTGATACTCTTCAGTAAAAAAAATTAAAAAAAAAAAATAAAAAAAACAGCTTAAAAGTGAAAGAATTTCGACTTTTAATATAGTTAATTATATTAAAATTATATTTGTTAATTATTTTTTAATATTATTATTAAAAAAAGCAGTGCAATAATTGTAACTTAATCGTTTACTTCTTTCCCTGTTTCTTTGTCTTCAAAGCTATAGGGTGGTCCAAAAGTCAGTTAACGCGTGAATGTCTGGAAAAAAAATGTTTTTAATACGCCATAATTTAATTTTTGTAAAGTTTGTAAGTAAATATGAACACGAAGAAGAGAGCAATTTAGTTTCTACAATGGTTAACTGAGTTTTGGGTCGTCACAGGTGGCCCAAAATTCAGTTAACCGTTGAGTGACCGTCCCCCATTTTTTTCAGGTTCGAAGGCTTAAAAAGTCGATTCAAATATATATATATATATATATAAAATTACTTCAAAATTATAAGTTTTTAATTAAATTTTAATTAATATAATCGTTTTAGTGTTTACAAATGTTTGATTAATGTCTGTCATGTTATTGAATAAATAAATATTTTTATGAATTAAAAAAAACCTCTTTGTATTTTTAAATAAAAGATCATTTAATAAATAATTTATAAAGAAAACATGAGTTTAAATTAATATTTTTTATTAACAAGTCGTCACCTACTTTAGGGATTATTTCTCATCCATGATATATTATGATGGTGAATAACTTTGAGTTGTCCATAACTCATGGTTAAAATGAATGATTCTCTCATAAGAAACCGTTACATGATGGAACAATCCAAGTAAAGAAATAAATTAGAGTGGATTCGATCATCATGTCAAACAATCCATCATCATGACGTGATGGATGATAACATGATCATCATCGAGAACAATTTTTTAAGTTACCGTATAGACTCAGCATTTTCGATCTCTCATAGAGTGTAATTTGTGAATACGTATATTATATGGATTCATAGATTATCATGAATCCATGTAGTGAGGATGGTGAGAGCATCAAGAGCCCTGGGATTAGGGTTTTATAGGTTCCTCTATACATTCTTCAGAGGTGCTGTCAAGGGTTTTTCCTCTTCATTTTCTAGATTCACAATTAAAACTTTAGTATTTAGAAAAGTTCATTTAAATCACGACTGAGAAGAACGGGCGCTTCTCTGAAAATTTCTATAAAAGTTTATGCGAATTCGAATCAGATAGTCTTAAAGATTAACTAATTAACAGCTTTTATCATAATATATGAGGCATAGAATCATATTACTTAAATTTAACGAAGCAAACAGTAAACACATTTTCAAATTAGTCGTATCTTCTTCAGTAGATCGAATGATTTGATACCCGAAGAGCTGGAAATTAGAGCAGGTTGCATCAACAAGCATTATTATTCTTTCGTAGTATCTTCAAACTAAATTATATTGAAGATATTCATTACAAATATGTATTTAGTCATTGTAAACTTTTATTAATTTATATATCGGATGATCAAATATCTTCACTTTAGGAGTGCCACAATGCTTTTGAATTTGGTTACTATATAGTAGTCAGAAAGCAAGACATGTCCTCCATTTTAATTTTATATAATGTCTATCTCGACGTTTTGAGACCTCCTAAACCCAAAAATGTTCCCCCCAAAAAACAGGGGGAAAATTCCCCCTGTTTTTGGACATCTATTTCGTTTAATATCTTTGGATGGGGGTGAACTTGACGGGGTGTAAAGATACACAGAGTCACGTGTCATATCTTGAGTCGGACTTAATAAACATTAAACTCGTTATTGGCATTTACAATACTTCTATAAATATAGGCCTAAATTCATATCTATTTGAAAAATTAATTCTTTTTTGCCTTTTTATAAAAATTAATAGTATAAAAGTTATTTTTTTAATAACATCTTGTAGCGGATGGCATTACACACAATTTTAATTTTGAACTAGTGTCATAATGTTTTATAAACTTAAATGGATATTTTTAAAATCATAGTTAAAACAAAATTACTCTTTTTAAGTTTTTGTTATTATTTAAATTTCACATCCTAGTATAATTGAAAACTCTTGGACTTTCTAATGGTCTCCTTAACCTATTGTTCGAGTGCCAAAAAAATCGAGTAAGAGCCATTGCAATACTTGCTAAACAACAAGTGTTCATTAAAATACTTCTTTTTCTTTGCTGTTGACTTATACGACTTTAAAATTGATTTTGGAGCAAAGGAGAAAGAATGCTGGATGGATGGAGTTCTTCTAATCCTCATGAAAGGTCGTAACATAAATAAAAATTGTTTTATTATACTGTTAACATTTTTTAGTTCATCTGTACTTAAATAAATATAACTTACGATGTTGTATTAATAAAAATGGAATTTGAATACTTTACCAGAATTTTTTAAAATAATATGAAATACAAAATTTCTTGAAATAATACAATATATAGAAGCAATTAAACCATAGAAAGACACGCTCTAATTATTGTATGTAGATAAAGAAAAACAATCAGGATCGATACTAAAAGGAATAAATATATTTTTCAATATAAATAATAGGACCTCAAGCTCAGTAGAAGTAGAAAGCCTCTGCCAGGTATGGACTTACGAAGCATAGAATCTTTAATAAAGCTCATACATATGACTTGATATTTGATATTGTACAACGTCTAGAATTCTTGTTGAGTAATAGATTTCAAATAGATAAATTGACAGAATAAGACAACGCAACAGTTGGATGATCTGCAAAGAGAAACAAATTCTTATTTAGTTGAAGAAAACATGGAAAATTCCACGTAGCTAGCTTTTTTGGCCAAGCGCGACTAGCTACCAATGTTCAATGGTTTTAAGTTTGTTCCGTTTGGATACGCGACAGGTAAGTAATCTGCCGAATGGGGAAGCTTTATGGGAGGGCTTTATATAGAAAACTGACCAATATTTAGTTGTTTCTAGCATGAAGAAACCCGAAAAACTCCAAGCCAGGCGAGGCGCGAACCCACTACCAGTGCTCAGTGTTTTTATCCATTTGGCCACTGGTTGGTTCAATTGTTTTATGCACTCGTCCACTGGTAGGCTTTTCAGTATATATTAAACCAAGACAGACTATTGGAAAGCATATACTGTATTTGTGTGTATTTGAAGCTGCTAAAAGAATGAGGCTTTAGGCAAAAGCTTTACTAGTCCATTCTTACGAAAACTGAAAGAGGAAGCTGTATTAATTTGTAAATAAATACTGAATAATTCAAGTTATCTTTGCGATCGATTCTTATTCTTTTACTTCCTAATTCTTTATCAATAGTATATCATTGATTTTCTCCTTGTTTCGGGCATTAACTTTTCTTACTAAGAAATACTTAGTAGTTTGACATTTACTTAACTAATTTATAGAATCTAAATCGTTTTCGTATAATTACATTCATCTAATAGAGTTTGTAATGTAGTTAAATAGCGTTATTTTGTATCTATTCTTCTTTATAACGAACAGCTTTTCATTATTGTAAATTCTTAAATTTGAGGATTAATAATCAGCAAATTATTAAAATAACAGAAAAAAAATAATTTAATCATATAATTTTTTATATACAGAAATTTAACATTGGAATATTATTCTTTCCTTCTCCCTAGAAAAATTATTTTAATTATAATTTGACAAAATTTCTGATCAAATTGTTTTCTTAACATTACCAAATTTCATAATGTTTAATTTAAGCTTATTTTTTTTTTAAATTTTAAACACTTTAATCTTTATTTTGTATCCGCTTACAACACAATATATTCGCCAGTTTTATGAAATGATAAATAATATATATATATATTAATATAAAATACTGGAGGTTCGTAATGAAAACACCTCTATTCATTGCTGTATAGACAGAGATTTAGCAGTCTTTAAAAAATTAGAATTATTTTATCATTTATTGATAATGATTCCTAATGTACTTCAGCTTGTATATAATATTTTGTTTTAATAATTAATTGTTTAAATAATCCAACAGAATGTTTTTAAAATAATTTTTTTGGATAATTTAATAAAAGATAATGTTGTCAACAATGATCCAGTATTTAAAGGTTTAAGGTATTTAATAATTTGTTCTTTGGATAAAAATTCAAACAAAGTCAACTTCATATTTGTAATTTCTTTCTTCATTGATTTATTTTCTTTTTTAAGATTATTTCTTCTTTTAACTTAGAAATAACTTTGGAAAATTCTTTATCTTCAATAATTAGGTAATCTTGTGGTGATTGTATTTCATCTATATCATACATAATAGATTATACAGTTAATAAAGATAATGAAGTTAAATATATAGACATAAAAATATTTATATAGTGAATATAATTTAATTATAAATTGAAAAAATAGAGACTATATTACACGAAATGATATACAAGTATGATTTAACCTACAATGTAGATTGGTATTGATGAATAACAATGTTATTATATTAATTAAAGTAATATTTTAAGGTATAAATAAAAGATTACTTACTCTTTTACTATTTGTTTGTGTTGCCGAAGTTATTCTTTCATAAACATTCTTCCTTATTTGATGTACTGTACAGTACATCAAATAATGTAGGAATAGCATTTAGCTTCAATGTTATTTTGCCATCAGCCCTATGCTGTTCATGGCTTTTCTCACACTGAATCTATTATAATGTGCATAAAATAATTTTTAAACACTTCTTATTGAGCCCATTTTATAATAATTATTTTTTTTAAATTAAAACGCAAATTTATAAAGAAAATTTTTGAATTATAAAAATCCAATTTTAGAAAAATGTTCCATTTTTATTAGGTTTAATAATATGATTCACAATTAAGATTTTTGTCAATATTCTGTCATTGTGCACATGAGAATCATATTTATATACTAAATTTACAAATTGAAAGTCTAAGAAAAAATTATATTTTAAGAACTTAATTAATTTTAGCAGTGAAATCAATTATATAATTATTCAAAAAATTTAAATGTCAATACTGAATTTATTACTTCAACTGCACTTAAATTAAGAGAATTTCTCAAATATTAATAACAAGAAATAAAGAAAGGAATTTGTTGCGTTACCATTTCACATCAAACAGATTTTACTTGCAAATTCAATTCTTATGCCTGTAAAAATTTTAGTCCATTATGCTTGAATATCATATATACAACTCGTTCTACCCTACGTTCGTAGGTATTATTTGTACATGTAATGCCCGTGCATATGTGGTTCCAAAATCTCGTCTCTGTACCTTCTTGTTATGATGGAACCCCCTTGAAAAACTCGAAGCTTAGTACAACCATTAAGCATAATATTTCTCCAGCCTGTCCTATCAAAATCGCGTCTCTTTCCGCGATGTTCATGGGTCTGTTCATATTGTCCCGTTCTCTCCAGATTCTAATCCCACAAGAATCATTTTGTAGAGTGTACGTACTCGTGAGTAAATAGAACATAACTCCATTAATTTAAAGTCCACATTAGTTAGAACATCTTAGCAGAGCATTTCTGTGTACAAGTCACTGCAAAGCAAAGCACTGGAGTTTGGCAAAAAGACCATTCGCTTGAAGTTTCTTGTAAACAGTTTTTTGTGAAATTTTAACACTGGTGGGCATAGATTGCTCCGCAGATAGCTACTATACATCTGTTATGACGCGCTGTTAATGTCAAATAGAGGGTCTATTGAAGGTGGTAATTTTTGGACAGCTACTTCCTGGTTGAGGTTCAATATTTCCTAGTCCAAACCTGGGTATATTGTTCTCTAACACATTCCGCGTCTTGAACCCATCTATCTGAAACTGTCTGCTTCTAGCTTGTTCTTCCTCTCATAAAAACGTCTATACGGCATTATCACTATCGGTATCACACAGTAAAACGGTAATAAATTGTTGTCGATGGCTGAACTGTAACGGAAATAATACTGCTGTATTTTTTGAGCATGCACATTTTGCACATTTTAATGGAACATTCGATTGCATTCTGGAAATTTTTATTGTCTGGTAAAGTTTACATGAATTTTTACCGCTGTTTTTTATTATGCTTGTTATGTTTATCTATGGACTGGACAATTATGCTTATTTTCTGGGAACGAGCGTATGTATATTATACAGTATATATTGTTATACACAACATATTTCAGAAGTTACAGCAGTAGGCTATATTAAGGAAGCAGCTTTTAAAAATTTATAAATACTGTATAGTTCTTTTTTGTTTTCGAAATAAAAAAAAATCCAATAGACTGAACAATTTGCAACAAATGTTTTTGTGGCTCCCGTAAATGTAAGATCCAAATTAAATAGTCTTGTTAGTCCCTTGTGATAGATTCTTTACCTGAGTCATATACTCGTTTTACCTCTCTCGCCATGCTTCCATTTTCTAAAACAAGTACATAATTGATAAAAAAAAAAGGGGGAAGCTCAGTTATCTAACTACTTCGAATATGATAAAATTTATATTTAATTTGTCAGTTTTTTTTAATGACAAATTTTTATGTTTTAGAGGTGGTTAGAAGTCGCTTCCATTTATATTTATATTCATATGTTTTTAAACAATAAATATGTCTGCACAATTTAGTATAAGAACATAAAACCCATGTCCTAACATGGAGAGGTTATCTAAGCCATTTGGCCCAGGACTGACATTTTCAAGAATTTTAAAAAACTTCGATACAAATTATTCATCCCATTGTATTTATATTCAAGAAAACCTTTTTGTGATTTTTTTGAGAAATTCTATTGTTTAAAAAAATAATTTTCTAATTGTGCTTAGTATCTTAATATATGAGTTATGCCGCTGGGTCTTTTACCAACGAATTCAATCGTTGTGCATGTAACTCCTACTCGTTTCCATGGTTCGTAACTCCTCGGTTCCTACTAAATATTTTTCTATGGAAAATTTCTCATTTACTTTCGTAATATATTTTAAAAAATATTTTTTAAAGCAATTTCATACAAATTAATGACCTTCGAAGTTCAAAAAGATCCTAGCACCCTTTTTCGAGCTGAGCGGTCAAGGTGGCAATCTACCGCTCTGGAGGAACCGGGATCGAATCCGGGCGGGTCGAAAAATCCCCAGAAATTTTTCGGAAATGATCTATCCGGATATGTTGGGCCTCGTCCCTTACCATCCGGCCACCCCATTGTTGGGCATAACCGAACCCATAATGGGTTTGCTCTTAGTGCCCAAAGTCAGGAAAGAGTTAAAAATTTAAAAAAAAAAAGGCTTTGGATAGATAAGCAGGAACATATTTATTACTATAACTTGAATTCGAGATAATTTAAAATATTTATATTAAAAGTCTAGACATCGTTTACTGTTTATTAAAATAATATTTATTTATTTATATTACAAAATATGAATATCATAAAAATCAGAATTATAATTTAAATCAGGTGGCGCTAAAGTTTAAAAATGGCGTCTTTAGCGGTTGTTTTTGGAGGTACTAAAGGAATAGGAAGAGCTATTGCTGAGAAATTTTTGAAGGAAAATTTTAGCGTTGTTGTTTTATCTCGGAATAATGATAATGTTAAAGAAGCAATTAATTATCTTCGGTCTAAATCGGTAAATAATAATAAATTCACCGTGCAAAGGGGGTTGATACTGTCTCTTTCAGAGCAAGAATCTTACCCAAATACCAGTCTTCATCAATACATTTCAACATATTTAATTAGTAAATGGACCAGAATATTTTTATACGCTATGTTGCAAAAAATGATTGGATACCACAAATCAAAACAAAAGCTTTATTGCCAACAACATTAGTAACGTGTGGAGCCACCTTTTGCACTTATATAACGCATGTTATTCGTCTTGATCTACTCCAAGAAGTTTTAGAGCATAATGATTGGAATTTGCTGACATTCTTTCACTAATGCTTTTGCCTAATTATCCACCGAGGTGGGTAGTGATGGCCTCGATTGAATCTGCTGATCAAGTTTTCCCGCAGATGTTTAGTTAGGTTCTGGACAGGTCAATTTTGTTTCAAATTATTTTCTTGATACTATACAGTGTGGACTGTGCAACATAGCAACTTTCATTATTGTCTTGAAAGTAACATATCTGTTCCAAAACTTGCTAAAAAGTTGGAAACACCTGATTGTCCAGAATGACTTGATAGGCACTTGATTGGTATCCATTCTGTCTGATCATAACCATTGGTTTCAAGCCACATAACAAAAACTGCTTTATGTTTTGATGCTATCTCTACCAATTTCATCAAAGGAACTGCACACTTGGGTAATAGCATTCTCCAGACCCAAATGCATCCATCAGATTTTAACTTTTCTGATCACTAATATCAGAAAAGTTGGAATCTGGATTCATTGCTTCAGAGAACATGTTTCTATTATACTACAGTCCAGTTTTTATGCTGTTTTTCCCACTATAGAGGGCCTGTTTAGTTACTTTTGGTGATCAATGGTTTTTGAACAGCATTTTGTAAAATCCCATCAGATGAGATTTGATATGTAATGTGTAAATGTGATTGTTCTGGTTCTTGCTTGCCACTCCTGGATGTTGTGTATCGGCCAGGACCTGTTTTGTCACATCACTCTCTTCAGCACCTTGCCTTCTAGTGGTAATTTTCTTGTCTGGTTGTCACAGTTACTATCCTTCAATTTATATAATATGAATGACAGTCTTTTGGATGAGTATCTTTGAGATGTGTTTCACAGAGATCATGCATATGTTATCTAGCAATGATCCCATACAGGAAGTCTGTCAGCTGGGATTTGCATGGTGTTACACAGTATTATTATCAGAACAACTGATTTGGGTTTATCTAGCAAATATACATACATGTCTCATGCTTCAGTAAGGGATTTTCCATGTTTTGCAGGGATGTCCAATCACTTTTCCCAACATAGTGTAGAGACCATATAAAGACTATGACTATAGCCATCTCAATAAGAACAAAACTAAAAATAATAATAAAGCCAGAAACAACCTTTTTTGAGATACATTGTACAGTTTTCCTTATGAATCTGGTTAATCAGAGAGATTTAAAAATAAGTAATAATTTATTTTAAAGGTTCTTCTCTTCCTCTTGTTATGCATTATATATGAGGCTGTTTTGAAAAGCTAAACCTTTTTAATTTTAAAATTTGTCAAATAATGCATTTTATTCAAATTGAATAAGTGAAACATAAGTATAGCTTTATTTTTCAATGTAAGAACCGTAAACATTTATGCACTTATCCTAGTGCTTCATAAGGCTGAAAATAGTTGTTTCCTAAAAATCTGTTTTTTTGAGAACATTGGATTTCAGTTGGTCATCTGTTTGAAACTTCTTCACACTGAAAATTTTTATTTTGGGCCAAATATGTTGCAGTCAATAGGCATTAGGTCAGAGCTTCAGAGAAGTTAGGTTATTTTCTAACTGTAGGGCAAAATTTTTTCCACAATGTTATGTTCAGCCAGATCACTGCAGATTATATAGACTCATTTGTTCTTGTCTGAACATTTTGCATCATTGTGAAATTTTGGAATAATTCACACAATTTTCAAAATAACTTCCATTGTGTGGATTCAGGATAATTTTCATCTTTTCATTAAAAAAAAATGACACTATCACTCTCTATAGTCAATGATTTATTAAGAGATGCCGTTTTCAACCAAACTATATCACTTGCCTGAGAGATATCAGTATCTGTTGAAAAATGCTATAGGAGTGGAAAAGGATGAATTATACAGCTCTGCTATTTATTTTTGAAATCTGAATGAAAACAAATCAATAGAAATGAAAAGGCATTACTTTTCAAAACACCTTGTATATTTGGAAAATATGTATTTGTTTTTCTTTTATTAATATTGCTTTATACAGCTCGCAGAATTTAGATATACGCTGTGATTAATTTTAAAAAAAGTATCAGTAATGATTTAATTATATATTTTTTTAGTTTGTTGAAATGTTTTATAATAATTTTTATTATTTATTGTTATTTAAGTTACTATGTAATTTTTATAATTTATACTTACTTCTGTGTAAAATTTTTTAGCTATTTTCAGTTTCCTACTATTACTGGTATATTTTTATGATATTTTCTAAATAGCTTTTTATGAGATTTATGGACATGACAAGTTTTTAGTAGTAATATAAATCATTTTTTTAGAATACAGTTCATAAAAATGCAAGAAGTGTGGTATAAAAAATTTACATAAATTCATATGAAAAACTTGATTGAGTACAACACCAAAAGAAAAGCTATTGCAATCATAAGATAATTTTGGTTAATAAAAGTATTCCTTGAAATATAATTACTGGACTTTTTTTATTTTTGTTTATTAAAATTGCAAAAGTTTATGAATTTAATAAGTATTGATAGTAATAGCTTTTTTAATGAATAAATTTAATTTCTTATCAGAATAATAATTCATTAATGGCATAAGGGTACAGAAGATGCAAAGGTTAAGAATTAGCTTTTGAGATGATAGTTTTGTTTTGTCACATACAGTCGACCCCCCTATAAGATATAGATACGTTCCAATTTATTAGGAATCAGTCGTTCCAATCACAGCCCGACACGTGTCAAGTTTACGGACTACGGCTGATTGAAAGGTTTTCTTCCATAAAATTAATCGATTCTACACTAATCCGACTCAACATTTCCAAAATACATATATTTTTTCGTAGTTTTATAGGAATCGTAATTATAGGGACCGTAATTATAGGGGGCTCGACTGTAAATTAAAAGGAAGGCTTAATTATATTTTATACTTATACAATTTAGAATTATCAGGTAACCAAAAAGGTTCTGTCATTTTTTGTCGAAAGAAAACAAATATAAAAATGTATAGGAAATAACACAATTTATTCATCAAAATAACCACCCTCATATTCAATAGTCTTTTCCCAATGGGAAACAAGCTTATAAATTCCATTTTTATAAAAGTCGTGATCTTTAGAGTTGAAAAACTTCTCTAACTCTGTTTCTATAACCTCTCTATTGCTGAACTGTCGATTTCGCAGATGATTATCTAGGCTTAAAAATAGGTGATAGTCAGGGAAATAAGGAGGGTGCAAAAGAGGTTCCCATCCAAGGGTCTGAATTGTGTCAGAGGTCACACGCGCAACATGATGTCTTTAGCATTATCGTGTTGGAAAAGAACGCCTTTACGGTTTACTAAAGCTGGCTGTTTTTTCAAAAGTGATTGGTGAACTCGACGGAGTTGGTCAGTGTAGACGTTAGCAGTAATAGTCTGGCCAGATGGTAAAGTTCATAGTGAACAATTCCATTTGCAGTCCACCATACGCACAATATTGGCAGGTGTCAATTGATGAGGTATCCATTTGCTGAGCTTGTAAAGTTTGAGCGGAATCTTTTTCAATTGCAGCCTGTAATTCATCATTATTAATGACATATGGCTGCCCTTCTCATGGCGCATCTTTAAGCGACTCATCACCAGAAGAAAATTTTCTAAATCACCTTTGGGTGGTGCAAGTGCTGATAGAACCTTGTCCGAAAACCTGGCATATTTTTTGAGCCATTTGCACGGCATTTTTTCCAAGTTTAAACTTATACAACATACAAGCACAAATTATAGAGTTTGGAGTACTCATCTTCAGGTTAATTTTTATAATATTAAGAGATAACCTTTCCGCTTCTCTTTATATAAGATGAGTCAGCATTAAATCTTGATTAACATATTGCTGGAATTTTAGAGCCATCTATTGTGTATTGCATTTAACATTCGTTAAACTTTGTAGTTTCACAAAAAACAACATAACTTTTTTGGTTACCTAATAGATAGATTGTAATAAAAACAATTAGCTTCAGCAATCCATAATTTTCAATTTTCTGGTTTGTAGTATATCAATTTTGGTTTTTTAGAAGTTTTTCAGTTATTTTTTCAGTCATCAGAAACTTCTATAGTTTTAGGTAATTCTTCAACTTGAGGAAGTTTCATTGTGACATGTGGTGAATTTTTTTGCAATTTTATGAAGTTTTGTGAAAAATTTGATAGCATTGTACTGCTCAATTTTTTGTGTTCCATTAATGATAGGGTCAACAAATATAGTAGGATACAAATAATGAAGTAAATTGCAACAAAACTTTTTAACTCCACCCTGTTGGCACTAAGAATGTGTATTTTTAACAAGCACATTATGGGTTCAGCTAGGCCCACAATGGGATGCCAGGTGATGAGGGACTGGGATTTTTTGACCTGTTTAGATCTGATCCTTGGTCCCTCAGAGCAGTAGACTTCCACCTTAATTGCTTGGTCATATGGCCATCTCACAACAAGATTTGTTGCATTTAGGGCACTCAAATAACAAACTATTAGGCTACTGTGAAAGAGTTATAACAACATGCTTTAAAAAAAATCAATCTTATTACTCTTATAAGAAGTCATGTATAAGAATAACTTTACATTAAAGCTGATTTGATTTTTATACTAAATTTCAATTATAATGTATTGAAATTAATAATGAATAAAAATCAAGTCAAGAGAATGTCTCACAGTTAATTGATACATTAAATTATATTTAATGTAATGATTGAAATACTAATTGATAATGAAATATGAAAAGTTATTTATTCTGATAAAAAGAATAAATAAAATTTAACTTATTTAATATGTTAAAAATCTTTTAAGTTTAATTATAGAAGAGACTTGTAAAGATTTATTTAGCAAATATATTCAAAATATTATAATTTATAGCAATTTTATTTTTCTTCTCTGATTATATTGTATAAAATCAGTGATATGAAAAAGAATTAACTTTTTTATTAAAATTTATAGCTATTATAAAATTGCTTTTTTGTCTAAAAATAGTATATTAGGAAAGATTTATATCAGATATAAAATACAAAATTTGAATAAAATTATTCACTTTTTTAATTTTATATAATCTTTTTATGTTTTCTGTTACAGAATTCAAATCAACAAAAAGTAGAAGGATTGCAATGTGATGTGAAACTTGAAGAATCAATTAAAAACTGTCATGATCACATTGAAAAACATATCGGTTCTACTAAGTTTCTTGTTAATGCAGCAGGTAAGAATTATATAAATGTTAATTATAAATTATAATATATTATTGTAGATAAATAAATATAGGGTAAATTTTTAAAATATATTAATGCAAAATTTTATTTTGTTATATGAATTAGTTGAATGAATATAATTTTCTAATAAACAATTTTCACTTCAAACATTAATCATAAGAGCCTATACATATCTTTTTATGTTGATAAATTAAAATTTACAAGTTTCAAAGAAACACTAAAAAAATGTCTTCACAGTTTGTTCTTTTTTACACCTTGGGATCAAATAATGTAGTTTGATATACAGTAGTCTGATGTAGACTACATCCCTTTTTTTTAATTAATATATTTTTATAATTTTTCTGTCATCAGAGGAATTTTTAAACATTTTTTTGCATGATGAGGTGGACAAAAATCTTCAATAAAAGATCAACTTCACTGTAGCTTTTATCAGACTACATCAAGCTACATTATCTGGTACCTAGACATAATAAAAGAAAAACATGAATTGTGAAGACACTTTTTTATACGTTCCTGGCTTTTTTATTAATTATGTTGATAAATTTTATTGGTATTTTAATACTTTACATTTCTTTCATTACTGAGAATTGCATTTTACATTCTTATTCATTGAGAAACTTTCACACAAATCATTCTTTTACAGAATGAATTTTTTCATTTTTACAAAACCAAATGATCATCTTAAATAATTGGGCTATAAATCCACTATTTAATGATTAAATACTAAGTAATTTGTTACTAGAGGTAGACATTAGGCACCATCTCTTATCTAAATTAATGATTATCACTTGGGACTCATTACAATTTGAGGTCCTAGGCAAATTCTCTTTTTTTATCATGACATATCAGGACCTAAAGAAGTTGAGCAACCCTCAGGTTGCTCGCAACTTATTTAGGCCCTGATATGCAGCCCCAATGCTTTTTTAATGTAATAAAAACTTTGATTAATAAACAAAATTAGAAAACAGATTAAGAGGATTTTTTCTTTATTAAAGAATTGTTAAGTTTCCAAATTTATGAATTGATTTTAATAAAGCATATGCATATTTTATTATTAATGATAATTGAGGCCAACAAGAACAGAAATTACTCTATTTTTCAGATATATGGTTTTACTAATAGCTTATTTTAACATGAAGGATTTGAAATCACTATAAAATGCCTGAAATTGAAACATAACAAGGTTACAATAAATATAGAGACTGTATAATTTGTTTTTAGGCTATATGTTGCAGCTTTTGAACTTCTTTGATCAGTGGTTCCGTGAAATAACAATGAGGTATTAAATGAAGATTAATTTTATTAATAAGAAATAAACAAATAGCAAACTCATTCATTTACAAGAGAGTTATAGAATGTATCATATACTTAACTTTGTTATCAAAGGAATTTGTTTAATTACTTTTTCATTTTATAACAGACTAAAAACATATTTAGAAGAATCCTCAGATCTCTTACATTATAAAAAAGTTTGAAATATAGTGTTTTCTCTCTAGTAGTGAAGAAAGTTATTCTGTTTTTTGCCATTTTTACAAAAATATTCATGTTTTTTTCCAAAGAATATAAATTAATCTAACATACCATAGAAATTGTCAACATTTTGAAAATTATATGAATTTCAAATTAAAATCATTTGCAAAAAAATATTTACCAACAAATCAAATATCTATACAGTTCAATAGACTGGATTATGTTTATAAATGATTGAAAATAATTTCAAAAAATGTAATAATACTTTGTAATTAGTAATTTGATATACATAAATGAAAGAATTAACAGTAAACAAGTTAAATATAAATCCTTATTATTAATAAATATGTTTATAATTATTAGGTAAAGAAGATATAGGATTTAAACCTTGATTACTTCAGACATAAAACTTGCCTTTTGCTATTCTTCTTTGGCCAAATATAAAAAGATAAAGGTGTCAGCTTGCTGCTTTGGGGATTGGACCACATTCCCTCAAAGCAGTATGCAATTGTGCTTCATGAATGATTTAATCCGAATATATATAATCTCAAGTCTTATCAGGTGACTGTTTTCATTGTGGCATGGCAAAACCCATGCTAAACATAATTTAGTGCCCAAACAGAGGAAAGAATTAAAAATAAAAAACAAACATAAAATTGAATTTTGGTCCATTTTGTGAGTTTCTGACAGTTAAAAGCTTTTAATAAATAAACAGTTTTTGTTTTTTGTTTATAAAATTACAGTCTCTTTTCTCTTGATGTACCAGTATTTATATTATAAACTGTACAAATATATTTAGTGTAATTGACTTTTTAATAGATTAATATTGATTAAATGATTAAATAATTTATCAATATTAACCTAATATCATAAGAGTTCAAATCCAGTCTTAGCTCTCAGTTTATTAATAGTTCAAACTCAGTTTTGTTAATAGTTCAAACTTTCCAGATTTCATTAGTTGTTTTGAATTAGATCTGTCTATATATAACCATCACTTTATCTTACAATTTAATATAGTATTTTAACTAATCTATATATATAAAAATGAATGTATGTCTGTTGCCTGTCTGTCTGTCTGGCTGTTTGTCCTTCATGCATTACCACACCATTTATCCAATTGCCATGAAACTTTGGGAAGTTTTTTAATACACTCCTGCGAAGGTTTCTGGCATAGTGCATTTATCCTAAGATAGATGGCGCGCGTTTATACTGTGTGTTCAATCGATTTCAAATTGTGAAGACCATTTCCCCCGTTCAAAAAATATCTCTATATATGCATTTGTGAACTGTTATTTGCGATATTTGTAATAATTTTTGTGTAATCACTTTATTTCAACTATTTTTTGCTAATTATGTATTCGCTTGAACTTTGTTAAAACCTTAAGTGTATCCCGAACAACAACTGAAGTTGTAGGAGGAAATTCGCCTATTTTACCGATCTAGGAATCCCCTTTTCCAAATTTTAATATCAACTCAAAATAATTTAAAAAGACAAATTACAATAAAACGGTTTATTATCCAACTATCAGAAATTTCACAATGTGCCAAGGANGCTTTGTTAATTGCTAATACTGATGTGAAGAAAAATAAATAATATAAAATAAAGTTGCATGATTAATATCATAATTGTTTATTTATAAGCAATTAAAATGAAACAATACATAAAATGATTCTTCATCTTGGAAGAGTGTAACAAGAAACCCCCTTTTTCGTCTTTGCTTTATTGTGGTGGAGCTTGGTGATTTGTGCTGCAGTGTCTCAGTAGAGTTTTCTCACCTGAGAGCCACAGCTGGGTCTAACTAAGAGGGACACTCACCAATGCCAAGATAGGAGACATTATGCCAAGGACTGGAAGGTACCCAGTTCCAGATTCCAGGTAGTATAATGGATACCATGAAAAATTCCTTTGAGACATCAAGTGACACACCATTGTAGTTAGTCTTGTGTCTGTATTGGGGAGTTTGAGATTGTGATAATATATTTTTCCTATGTATAAGCCTACACATTGATTTAGAAAACTCCCACAGGCATTTTTCTAAATGGTTCAAGGAATTTAATTGATCTGCCTCCTACTCCTTTTAAAGTGTCATTAGAGTCAGCAAAGCATGCTGAAAAGGATACCATTGCTATCCTTTTCAGTATGTCTTTCAGAGATCTTCTTTGATCCTTGTTTTTTTTCCAAGACTGCAAAGTGATGGCAGAGATATAGATAGTAGAAGGCAGAAGATGTAACTTCTTCAGAAGCTCCTGTCACTTCTCCTGGAGTCTTTATGGCTAAAGATGGGTCGTACTGCTCCTTGGCAAGAGAGACACTGTTTCTTAAAATTTGTTCACTTGCAGTCAAAGACAACAAAGTGTAGAAGAGGCAGCAGAGGATATGGTGTTGTCAGATATCCCTGCCATCTCTTCTGCTTTCACCATTTTTGAGAAGGACATTCTTGAGACTATGAGTGGTCTTATTTAGTCTTAGTTTTGAATATACTCTCTCTCCTTGGTAACCAAAGTGTCCAAAAGTTCCTAAAGGAAGGAACTGAAGGCATTGATGCAGAACTACTAGTGGCCATCATTTCTGATGGCTAACCAAACATTTAAATTTCTTCCAATTTGTCAGATCAAATTCAGGATTTTCTCCTAGAGGAGATCAACAAATCTGAGTCTGGATGACCCTCTTAGGTTTGTTTCTTGCAACTTTTTTTTGGGGTCATTGAGATTGGCTTGCTTCTCTTTGAGATAAAACAGTAGCACTTAAAGACTACAATTGGTTGGACATAACTTCATCCATTATTGAAGAGACTTGACCCTCAAAAGATCAGCCATATGGATGAGTGATAGGTAATGATACTTCTATCCATACTACATATAATAAATTAGAAGTTTAGAATAGATTTAAACTCGGATCTGGTTCAGCTTTTTGTAACTATGATTGTAGAACAATATATAACTGGCAAACACCTGGCTGACACATAACTTCAGATAGTTATTAGTAGTTATTTTGTAACATAAAAGATTTAAACAAATTGAACAAAGTATTGTATTATGTATTTATATATCAATTTTTGATTTAAAAGGAAATTTAAAATGAATCTTAACAGCATTTTAAGAGAATATTAATTACATTGTTAAAATATTATGTTAAACTCTTATTAAAAGCATTTTTTGTTAATAATTCAGTAAAAAATAAAATATTGTTAATGAAATCTTTTTAACTTAGTGAGAAAACTATTTTTTATATATTCTGTATTTAAAAATTAAATTAGACAATCTGAAAAAGTAAAACTGTAAGGATATCAAGATACTAAACTTAGATAATCATTATTTTATTTAGATCTGTAATTATTATCGTATAGATTTACATAAATAAATAATCAGTTATGAGAAGAAAAGACTAAGATGTACCAAGATTGCAATACAAAGAAGCAAGTGAACTGCTTTTTAATTTTACTAAAATAAAAATACAACATAACTTAAGAATTGCTATCACTTATAGTAAGACAAATTTACCAGACATTAGTATAACATTCTGTTGTGTTTGATAATTTTACCATAAATTCTTAAGTTATATTGTTTTTATTTTAATAAAATTAATGTCAAAAGACAGTTTTCTTGTTCCTACATAATCAGCTATACATTTTATGGTAGTTTCAACTCGAGTAGATGTAACCTTGACATAAACATAGATATAATGTAAATATTTTTTACAAGAATCAAATAAAATTATATTTAAAATAATGTAATATTTAAGATATTAATTTATATTGGTTAATAATTCAGATTCTCACATAATTTATATGAAAACATCCTCTAAGTCTGATCATTTTAATGAATTAAAAGTAATAATATTTCTTATGCTTTATTTGGTATTTAAAATTGTTCTATAATGAATGTATTGTAGATTTCAAATTCTGGTTTTCTGAGAAAAAATTTTGAAATAACTAAAAATATTAATATTAAAAATAATAATTTACCATTAATAATTGGTTAAATTTTTGTTTTTTAATTAATTTACTAATAGAAAATTTGTAAATGCATTTATTTTATTTTTAATATTATTATTTTATATACAGTGGGTGATCGGTTAACGAACAAATTGGATAATGAACACTTTCGCAAAAGATTTTTATGTTCGGACAATGAACATCCCACAGAACAAACACGAGAAGAAGCGACGTAAAATAATGAATACCGATTGGTCTTCCCTTGTCTTCGGGCAACAATTTGAAACTTTTCAGAGTGCGGGAGATGTCGACATCGACGCTCAACCCAGTATATACCGATCGGATAGTATTCCTCCGAACTTTGAAACTCTCCCTTGAAATTTTATCCTTTTATTTTTTTGACAAAAACAATTCTTTTATGTATTCGCAAACTGTTGGGTAGGCACTTATTATGTTTTGCATCTGTTTTCTTTTTGAAAAGTGAGAGTATAAAAACAAAGGTAGAGAGTGGGCAGAAGATGCCTAATGTTGCTGGGCAGTATGGTGGGAACAGGTCTACAGTAGGCTGCAGTTCAATCTTATTTAAGAAGGATACTGTATAATCAAGAAGACTCAAGCAGCTAAAGGAGTAACAAAAATCACATCTGAGAAATTATATATTTTTTATTTTTGGGGATCTCCAGAATGAATTAATCAAATTTCCATTAAAACCTATGGTAAATTGATAATTGGTTAATGAACAATTTGGATAGTGAACAAAGTCTTAGAACGGATTATGTTCGTTAACTGATCACCCACTGTATTTCGCAGAACTTTTTTCGTTTTATTGTTTTGGTTTATACTGTATTTGTCTTGGAAAAGTATTGTATTTCTGATGTAAGGTGATATTATATCACATCACATTCTGTATCACATGTAGCATATTTATAATATAGATAATGTCTTTTTAAAATGTGCAATATTTCTGATAAAAGAATAAAATTTGTTTCAGCTTTGTTAATTGCTAATACTGATGTGAAGAAAAATAAATAATATAAAATAAAGTTGCATGATTAATATCATAATTGTTTATTTATAAGCAATTAAAATGAAACAATACATAAAATGATTCTTCATCTTGGAAGAGTGTAACAAGAAACCCCCTTTTTCGTCTTTGCTTTATTGTGGTGGAGCTTGGTGATTTGTGCTGCAGTGTCTCAGTAGAGTTTTCTCACCTGAGAGCCACAGCTGGGTCTAACTAAGAGGGACACTCACCAATGCCAAGATAGGAGACATTATGCCAAGGACTGGAAGGTACCCAGTTCCAGATTCCAGGTAGTATAATGGATACCATGAAAAATTCCTTTGAGACATCAAGTGACACACCATTGTAGTTAGTCTTGTGTCTGTATTGGGGAGTTTGAGATTGTGATAATATATTTTTCCTATGTATAAGCCTACACATTGATTTAGAAAACTCCCACAGGCATTTTTCTAAATGGTTCAAGGAATTTAATTGATCTGCCTCCTACTCCTTTTAAAGTGTCATTAGAGTCAGCAAAGCATGCTGAAAAGGATACCATTGCTATCCTTTTCAGTATGTCTTTCAGAGATCTTCTTTGATCCTTGTTTTTTTTCCAAGACTGCAAAGTGATGGCAGAGATATAGATAGTAGAAGGCAGAAGATGTAACTTCTTCAGAAGCTCCTGTCACTTCTCCTGGAGTCTTTATGGCTAAAGATGGGTCGTACTGCTCCTTGGCAAGAGAGACACTGTTTCTTAAAATTTGTTCACTTGCAGTCAAAGACAACAAAGTGTAGAAGAGGCAGCAGAGGATATGGTGTTGTCAGATATCCCTGCCATCTCTTCTGCTTTCACCATTTTTGAGAAGGACATTCTTGAGACTATGAGTGGTCTTATTTAGTCTTAGTTTTGAATATACTCTCTCTCCTTGGTAACCAAAGTGTCCAAAAGTTCCTAAAGGAAGGAACTGAAGGCATTGATGCAGAACTACTAGTGGCCATCATTTCTGATGGCTAACCAAACATTTAAATTTCTTCCAATTTGTCAGATCAAATTCAGGATTTTCTCCTAGAGGAGATCAACAAATCTGAGTCTGGATGACCCTCTTAGGTTTGTTTCTTGCAACTTTTTTTTGGGGTCATTGAGATTGGCTTGCTTCTCTTTGAGAAGTGTTACTTGACTTAGAGAGTGCATTGAGGCCTTTAAAGAGCAGGAAATTTCAAGAGCAGGAAATTTCTTTGATCATTGTCAAATTTGGCTCACTATCTGTAAAGGTTTCAATGCTGATACCAGGCCAAAAACATGAGGACTTTCCTCAGATCCTTTAAAGACTTATGACACAGAACCTGGGTCTGGCAACAGGGTTCTGGAGATTACTTGATAAAACTTTTGGCTTCTTTGGCCAATGCATAGTTTTGGCAATTGATAATATTCAATAAGTGTGTTTGAGGATTTAAATGTCAGGCCTTTTCTGGGACTTTCTAGCATGTCTTTTAAGATTCTTGGTGATTGCTCTGATTTTCTATTAGTAACGTCAGGTCCAGGCAGAAAGTCTACCGGTGTCTGTTCATAATTAATGACTCCAGGATCTAGCTGCAGGCCTGCTGCTGCTGGCTTACAATCAGTGCTTCTTGGTCTGGTAGCAAACTAACTGCTGCTGATTCACAGCCAGCTGCTTCTGGACTACATTGCTCATCATTAATTTATTCATTCTGGTTTGCTTAAAGATTCTTTATAACTAGAGTTATCATGACTTTCCATATTCTAAAGGACTTTTTCAGTTCCCAATAAAACCTACTTGCTCTAATGCTCATTATGTGGCACTAAACCATTATCCCATTTCATTTCCCTATTATGTATTAACTCAGCACATTGTCATTGTTGTTAGTCATATAACTTAATTTTATTTAAAACATAGTTTATAAAATTAATATTACTTTAAACTACAAACACAAAGTACAAGCATAACAATATTTACTGTATTTCAAGAAATAGAACTGATATACAAATGTACTATATACATGTATCAACAATTATAATCTTAACAGCACTACTGAATGGGTTAGTAAGCAAATTATTTATAAACATTATCTTACTAAATATTTTAGAAGGAAACTTAAGGATAAATTTTTTCTGAAGTTTTAAAATTAATTTCAGGAGTAAATATTAATCGACTGCTGCTACAAACAGATGAAGAAGAATTGCAGCAAATTATAGATACAAATCTCATAAGTTCTATAAAAGTCTGCAAAACATTTATAAAATCAATGATGAGGAGAAAGTCTGGAAGCATTATAAATATTGGTAAGTAAATAATTTACAATATCAAACTTGATTTCTTTGTCAGTGAAGAATTCTGTGATAGTTGAATTATACATTTTTTTCATAATATAAGCTTTTAAAACAATATAAATAAATAAATGTGTTATAAAATTTAGATCCTTTTATTTCTTCTCCTATTCTCTAAAGCTTATAGCTCTCAATAAAAACTTTGATAGAGTTTCTACAAAGAAGAAACAAATTTTATAATTTAATAAACTATTTTTAAAGAAGGANGAATATAAATATTGGATGATGGTAAAGTGAGTGTCTTTCTTGCATAAATTGTCAGCAGACGCTACACTTTAGGCTTCTTCACCATGGAGGCTGGCAAAATTTTATTTTGTTATATGAATTAGTTGAATGAATATAATTTTCTAATAAACAATTTTCACTTCAAACATTAATCATAAGAGCCTATACATATCTTTTTATGTTGATAAATTAAAATTTACAAGTTTCAAAGAAACACTAAAAAAATGTCTTCACAGTTTGTTCTTTTTTACACCTTGGGATCAAATAATGTAGTTTGATATACAGTAGTCTGATGTAGACTACATCCCTTTTTTTTAATTAATATATTTTTATAATTTTTCTGTCATCAGAGGAATTTTTAAACATTTTTTTGCATGATGAGGTGGACAAAAATCTTCAATAAAAGATCAACTTCACTGTAGCTTTTATCAGACTACATCAAGCTACATTATCTGGTACCTAGACATAATAAAAGAAAAACATGAATTGTGAAGACACTTTTTTATACGTTCCTGGCTTTTTTATTAATTATGTTGATAAATTTTATTGGTATTTTAATACTTTACATTTCTTTCATTACTGAGAATTGCATTTTACATTCTTATTCATTGAGAAACTTTCACACAAATCATTCTTTTACAGAATGAATTTTTTCATTTTTACAAAACCAAATGATCATCTTAAATAATTGGGCTATAAATCCACTATTTAATGATTAAATACTAAGTAATTTGTTACTAGAGGTAGACATTAGGCACCATCTCTTATCTAAATTAATGATTATCACTTGGGACTCATTACAATTTGAGGTCCTAGGCAAATTCTCTTTTTTTATCATGACATATCAGGACCTAAAGAAGTTGAGCAACCCTCAGGTTGCTCGCAACTTATTTAGGCCCTGATATGCAGCCCCAATGCTTTTTTAATGTAATAAAAACTTTGATTAATAAACAAAATTAGAAAACAGATTAAGAGGATTTTTTCTTTATTAAAGAATTGTTAAGTTTCCAAATTTATGAATTGATTTTAATAAAGCATATGCATATTTTATTATTAATGATAATTGAGGCCAACAAGAACAGAAATTACTCTATTTTTCAGATATATGGTTTTACTAATAGCTTATTTTAACATGAAGGATTTGAAATCACTATAAAATGCCTGAAATTGAAACATAACAAGGTTACAATAAATATAGAGACTGTATAATTTGTTTTTAGGCTATATGTTGCAGCTTTTGAACTTCTTTGATCAGTGGTTCCGTGAAATAACAATGAGGTATTAAATGAAGATTAATTTTATTAATAAGAAATAAACAAATAGCAAACTCATTCATTTACAAGAGAGTTATAGAATGTATCATATACTTAACTTTGTTATCAAAGGAATTTGTTTAATTACTTTTTCATTTTATAACAGACTAAAAACATATTTAGAAGAATCCTCAGATCTCTTACATTATAAAAAAGTTTGAAATATAGTGTTTTCTCTCTAGTAGTGAAGAAAGTTATTCTGTTTTTTGCCATTTTTACAAAAATATTCATGTTTTTTTCCAAAGAATATAAATTAATCTAACATACCATAGAAATTGTCAACATTTTGAAAATTATATGAATTTCAAATTAAAATCATTTGCAAAAAAATATTTACCAACAAATCAAATATCTATACAGTTCAATAGACTGGATTATGTTTATAAATGATTGAAAATAATTTCAAAAAATGTAATAATACTTTGTAATTAGTAATTTGATATACATAAATGAAAGAATTAACAGTAAACAAGTTAAATATAAATCCTTATTATTAATAAATATGTTTATAATTATTAGGTAAAGAAGATATAGGATTTAAACCTTGATTACTTCAGACATAAAACTTGCCTTTTGCTATTCTTCTTTGGCCAAATATAAAAAGATAAAGGTGTCAGCTTGCTGCTTTGGGGATTGGACCACATTCCCTCAAAGCAGTATGCAATTGTGCTTCATGAATGATTTAATCCGAATATATATAATCTCAAGTCTTATCAGGTGACTGTTTTCATTGTGGCATGGCAAAACCCATGCTAAACATAATTTAGTGCCCAAACAGAGGAAAGAATTAAAAATAAAAAACAAACATAAAATTGAATTTTGGTCCATTTTGTGAGTTTCTGACAGTTAAAAGCTTTTAATAAATAAACAGTTTTTGTTTTTTGTTTATAAAATTACAGTCTCTTTTCTCTTGATGTACCAGTATTTATATTATAAACTGTACAAATATATTTAGTGTAATTGACTTTTTAATAGATTAATATTGATTAAATGATTAAATAATTTATCAATATTAACCTAATATCATAAGAGTTCAAATCCAGTCTTAGCTCTCAGTTTATTAATAGTTCAAACTCAGTTTTGTTAATAGTTCAAACTTTCCAGATTTCATTAGTTGTTTTGAATTAGATCTGTCTATATATAACCATCACTTTATCTTACAATTTAATATAGTATTTTAACTAATCTATATATATAAAAATGAATGTATGTCTGTTGCCTGTCTGTCTGTCTGGCTGTTTGTCCTTCATGCATTACCACACCATTTATCCAATTGCCATGAAACTTTGGGAAGTTTTTTAATACACTCCTGCGAAGGTTTCTGGCATAGTGCATTTATCCTAAGATAGATGGCGCGCGTTTATACTGTGTGTTCAATCGATTTCAAATTGTGAAGACCATTTCCCCCGTTCAAAAAATATCTCTATATATGCATTTGTGAACTGTTATTTACGATATTTGTAATAATTTTTGTGTAATCACTTTATTTCAACTATTTTTTGCTAATTATGTATTCGCTTGAACTTTGTTAAAACCTTAAGTGTATCCCGAACAACAACTGAAGTTGTAGGAGGAAATTCGCCTATTTTACCGATCTAGGAATCCCCTTTTCCAAATTTTAATATCAACTCAAAATAATTTAAAAAGACAAATTACAATAAAACGGTTTATTATCCAACTATCAGAAATTTCACAATGTGCCAAGGAAGAGAAGAAGGAGCAATTAAATAATTAAAATTGTAAAGGATTAAAAAAATATATATAAAAATAGGGAATATCGCACTTCTGACAATCGCTGCAAGTGTGTGGGCTAGATTTGGAGAATCTGTGCTTCTCGCATGGACAACTGTATGTGGCCAGCTCACGCGTCGGAAAACCTTCTGATTTATTCGTGTACGCACCAGACGAAAAAACAAAAAATATCGTGTATACACGAGCACTCCAATAAATAAATAGAATTGAAATGACACTTTGAAATGTTTTCCCAATGAAAATTAATAATAATAATAATAATAAGGCAATAATAATAATAAGTTACAATAAAAATGATAAAATGTAAATTGAATTTTATTATAACTAGTTTGCTTGAATTTCGTTTCTTCTGAGATCGCAGCAATGTGCGACGGGTAAGCTAGTATATATTATAAAAAATTCTTTCTAAAAGAAAAAAATAAGAAATTACTAATTAAAAATAAACATTACTAATTTATTTCATTTTCTTTCGTGGTATAAGATTAAAAATAGTCTCAACTATTCTTAATTCTATACCACAAAAGAAAATAAAATAAATTAGTAATGTTTAGAGTTTTTTAAAAAATTATATTTTGAACTAAACTGATATTTGTATTTAATGTTATTTAATTAACATCAGTGCTTTGGAGTTGGAGTAACACTGCTAGAGGAATTGGAATAAGTAAAGATGAGCCAACTTTGACTCCTGTTTCTTTTTTATTATGTACTTTATACTAAGCTCCTAATAGATGCATTAACCTCTTATCTTGCATTATAGAAGTATCTTGTAATATATACAGTCGACCCCCCTATAAGATCATTGATTATTCCGTTTTATATGAATTCCATGTTGTACGAGTCACTTAGATTTTACAAATACGTGTACCGGGCTGTGAACGACTCACGTATTTGTAAAATTTAAGTGACTCGTACAACATGAAATTCATATAAAACGGAATAATCAATGATCTTATAGGGGGGTCGACTGTATTGGCTATGGTTATTGATGTTTATACATAATATGTGTGAACACAAGTTTGGAAAAATGTGTGATCACAAGCGACACTAAGATGCTAGCAGAACCGCCATTGAATAAGAAATG